CAGAGAGCGTCTCAACACTTCTTTTAAACGCCTCATTCCGTGCCTGCTCAAGTTTAAACTCATCCTGAGTTCTTATTGATGGACTCAGCCGTAGCTTGGCTGTTTACCTCGGACGCATTTCTGCGCTGTCCGAGGACAAACGCCTCAAATTGCTCCAACTGAGCAACATGTTGCTCAGGAGGACAATGCAAGAGGTTGACCAGGTCTTTTCACCAAATCTCTGCGCCATATGCTCTGCCAACTTTTTATGGTGTTGAGAGAGGTAACGTAATTCACTCCAGTTCATATTGAGGACCATCTCAACCACACACACGCTCAGAGAGACGGGTTGTGGGAAGGACTAATAGGGCTACCAAGTGTAGACGGGGACTTCTACGAAGTTTCCTCTTGCTACTTAGCGCACACTTAGCACAAGCGAGGAAGCGGTTAGACCGTCTTAACTTCGCGTGCGAGGGTGGTTGTGTGGTTGGTCGACTGCTTAGGCAATCGTACCACCATTTGCACTCTCGCTTCAGCGAGAGTGCAACGAGCTTCTAAACAACAAGTCACCGACGTCACGCAGAAGATTTTTCAGCTTCTCGTGCGCGGTGCTTTCGATTTAGCAAATTCAAGACTGAGCTATATTTAATGAATTATAACCAAATATATACTTAACTACCGATTGGCTATTTATGTAAAGATCGGAACGCTGATACGCGACTCTTTAGAAGCGTATCCTGACGTGTGAGCTTAAATGTAGATTTAAGCTCGCTAATGACGTCCTTTTGGGACGTCGCGATGCCTAGATTCAAGTAGCGTCATCCCTTCCCATGTGAATCCATCAATGGATATCACGTTCACGAGGGTGAATCACATTTGTGTATCGCACCCAAGTGACAGGTCAAAAGTAATCATAGATACTTTTAGACCTTACATTAATTATTAATTGTAACCATTGTCCAGTTACATCTAATATTGGTGATGTTAAAGGAATCTCGTGGTCGCAGTCGTCGGCGACTTGCATCATCGGCGCATCATACACCAAGTGACGAATCGACCCTCTGTACAGGATACAGTCACTTGCAACAGAGATGATGATGATCAATGTGCGATAGGTTTGTCGCTGAATCTAGCTCGGGTCCCGCGCTTGCGTGATTTTTCCGCGGCAAGAAGAAAGGTGGCGGCGGAAGCCAAAAGAGCAGCGTTGGCGACCTGATTGCAAGCACCATGTCTCCAACTCTGCTTTTTTGGCTTCCGCCGCCAACTTTTTTTGCCGCGGCAATTCGCTTGGATGTGACCCGTCTTGCCGCACAAAAGTATCTGCGTGTCTCTTTGCGCTGTGGCGATACCTTGACATACGTAGCAAATACCTCACGCCTAACCGATCATTAACCAATCTCGATTGATGTTGCAAAGTGCTACATACTTCAGAGTGTCGCAAGTAATCGGCCCGTATCGGATCGTACTTGGGTCTCATGACGTTCATGAGCTTTGGCGACGCGGGATGGACAATGTTGTCTAGCACCAATGATTCTGTTCCACCTCGTGCGTGGCTACCATTACAAGAAGTGCTCTGCCTACGATCTCTTTGCGTCCTTTTTTGCGCGAAGAGTTTTGTTGGCTGGCCGGCGGTGATCGTAATTTAACAGTCGTCCCATTACGTGGTCCAGCGTTGCTTGTTGGTTCCATCAGAGTCAACTTGCTTGTGGTAGTACCTTTCAGCCGTGCCAGCGAGGAAATGACCGAGTAGATTCACCTTGACGTCTTCACTCCAGCGAAAATCGCACGACGCATCGGCCAAGTTGAATTGTCGCAGGTTAGTCTTTAACTAGTCATATAAACCGGATTACAGTCCGTAATACAGCTCAGTGCCGTTAAACTTGCGAAGTGTGAGCTTGCGCTGAGCTGAACTGCCGTCGGTGTCGCGAATTACAGCACTCCTTGCTGCTGAATTGGCGCTGTCGCTTCTGGCTGCTGCACTGTGACGCGAGGATACGCGGCGTCAACCGTAGCGCGTGCCTACGCCTGCTGCCGGTAAGGCATCGGTGACCGCGTCACAAGAAACGAAACTTACGAATGTTTAAAGTCCTGTCGCGGACGAAGGACAAGCGGCAAAGAAATTCGAAAGCGTTTTATTATTTTGAACTAATGGTCGAATGCAAGACACACGTCTTGCGAACAGACGGCGGCGGTGAGTAAGAACGTTGGTCTGCTCTGTCAGCGCATAGGAGTAGCGCGACAAGTCAGCGAAGCGCGGAACAAGCGTCGCACAGCAACGCCAAGCGCATGCATCGGACGATACTCAACGTGGCGCGCAGCATGATCTTCGCAAGCCGGCTGCCGCTCCAATTCTGGAGAGACACCTTAGAGTACGCCGCGTATATCAAGACAGGAGTCTGACGCCAGCTATCGCGACACGCGCATCCCCGACCGAAAATTTGGCGAAGACAGCGCTGGATATTCGAAAAATGTCGTTTTCGGGATCACCTGTGGTGAAGTGCTTTTTAAAATGTGGAGAATCGAAGGGCAATTGAATGAAGGGACAAGGACCTCGCGCCAGGGAGAAGGGACCCGAAAGAAAGAGGACCTCGGAGTGAAGTGACTAGTTGTGGCTGAGAATGTGCAGGACCAACAAAGGGGAGATCATTATCAGGGTACTGGTTTAACGGTACCGAAAGAAGTAGACCACGGTCTCCTCATTTGTAGATCTGAGTCCCTCATCGATGGACCTGGGTACCTCATTGGTAGTCCTGGGTCCCTCGTCATAAGGTCTCAGTACCACATCGGTAGACCTGGGTACCTCGAGGTGTAGCCACTCCTGACCAGTCAACACAGGGAATTAGGTCTTTAGGCAAGTATAGAGTGAATAAGTTGAAGGATAGGACTATTTTTAAATACTACTCAATTTGCGATTTACCTGGACTTCGTCACGCTCAAAGAAACTTGTTTCGATCTGCCCACCTGTTCCGGGGAAGGGATATAATTTGACTTACTCGATGAATACAGTCGTGTGGGGTAGACTCAAGTGCGAATAGAACCCCAGGATATATTTGGCCTATGGGTTTGTCTTGAGTAGTGTGGCGAAGCGAAAGAGTGAATCTGGCAAAGTGTGATCACATAATTTCGGTTAAGTCCGAAGTGGCTAATATTGATGAATCGCGATCCCGCAGAAGAGATTTCGAGATGATGGAAAATAGGATGGAAAACAGTGAATGGTAGAGTTCGCGATTCTATGTGGAGTTAAATATGGCCTAGAACTACGCAACTGCGATCTCCGGTATTTTTCGATGGCGATCCGCGTGAACGCGATCGCTAAGAAGGAGGATTGGTACATCCAAGTATGTGGAAGACGGTCTGGTGTGGATCACGTCGCTATGGTAGACTGGAATGAGGTGGACATGACATGTCATATAGATGGACCATCTCACATATCCCGAGAAACGGTGAAGAGGTTAAGTCGTGATCCGGCGGACCGCGATCCGATACTAATTACTAGTACCGCGATCCAATACTAAAAAAAGTACCGCGATCCGATACAAATATGGTATTAGATCCGATCGAGGTAGCGATCCAGATCGCGGCGATATTGGAGTGGACCCATTACAAGATCTGATTATTCCGAAAGGGCGATACGTGGCAATAGTCCTGAGCTACAGATAGGCAAGATCATAGGTTTTGGTATTTGATTGATTAATATTAAACAGAGTTTAATTTGCTTCTAAGTACACGTGTCGAATTCTCTATTCCGGGCAGGATATTTGGCCTCCCAACGCCGAGAATATCGACTACAAGTGCACCCTGGATTGTTTGGCCAGGTGAAGGAACTCTCGACACAATAACTCAACTGCGATCGGACGAAGAAATAACAAGTAAGGACAAGGCATGCAAGTGCAGGACGGATCAAGTGGTCAGAAGGTTCTGCTCAAGTGGTCAGAAGATTCAAGCTTCGCCTTATTGGACTATTGGGATCTATTGGTACGATCAACAAACAAGTACTCGGTCGATCTTGTGAAGATTTCCAAAAGATCACCAAAACCCCCTATCCCTAACCCGATTAGGATCAACATCGACTCAAGTCTACCGAGAAGAGAGCAACCCGCCCTACCGACGGGTACACAAGGTGAGAGAGGCTATATACACGGAATCGGGGTACCCCCTCCGGTAGTCGGTCGTCCGGGCGCCAGTGGAGAGTTGTAGTCGCATCAGCAATTTTGCGAATCCCACACCCCCCCCAAAGACCCGCTATCGAAAGCAGTCTCTTCCATCTAAAGGTTCGGGAGCAAAGTAAAGGTCAGTTCGTTAACACCTCTAAGACAACCAAGGAAAAGGCCAGGAACAACCAGCTCCCTGAAGATTTAGATTATAAGTCCATTATCAACTCGGTCGAGTGGCACTTACCGGCCCACCGAGTGAAGCATATCCACTCGAGGCCCCCAGGTCTACCTCGTACAAGACAGACATCTACATCCTCACCAAGCTCTCTTTCGAAGAGTGCAACCTGCCAGCCGACGGGTACACAAGGTGAAAGAAGGTCCATACGCGGTCCCCTATGACAGTCGGCAGTCCGGCACAGTGAGTGGTTTGGGGTCTAATCACACCGTTTTAAGACCCCACTCCACCACACAAGTACGCCGCTAGCCCTAGGAATCTCTTTAGTTCCTTGGCATCAACTGACACTGAAGGTCGAAAAGCTGTGAGGAAAAGTTGATTTTCTCACATGGCCGCATCTAGGCGATTGGCAAAGAACTTGTCGATCGCTTCGACCTGGTCCCGAGGCAGTGGCCACTGCTTCATGACACAATATATTGTGCCTGGTAACAGGTCGATCTCATGTCGAGTACTTAAATCCTAAGGTGACGCGCACGAAACGGATTCACCGATGGCGTCAAACCGCATCATTGGTTTCATTAAAAAGGAGTCATGTGTCTTGATATCCTTAATATTAAAAGTACATAAAAGCTAAGAACCAAGCTCTAGAATTAGAGACCAACCCATCCTTTCATAATCAATTGCTCGACCTCATGCCGTCACTCCGTCCACTGCTTCGTCACTTCTGTGCTGTCCCCGCAACCTTCCGTACTTTACAGCTACCTGTGGGTATCAATGGTTCCTCTCTCTCTGCAGTAGCACCTTCATCAGTTGTTTTAACGCAACAAAAATTACTGTGTCTACCGTCCACGTTTGGCTCTGTGGCTCGAGACTTCCGTCTCCAATTCACCAGTGAGCAGCTCACGCGCAGTTTTGCGCTTTACGGCGTAGAACCACGTCTACCAGAAACAGAATTTGGGAGTCGACGTATTGAACGTGATGTCGATGAAGTTTTGCGTGCTGCTGACGCGCTGAAGCTTGAGAAATTCTCGCTGCTGGGCTGTAGCCACGGTGCCAATGTGGGTGCTGTGCTGGCGGCTAAACACTCCGAGAGAGTGACGCGACTTGTGCTGGTCAATGGCAATGTACGTGTTTTTACACTGGCCAGATTGTAGCTCTAAAGACTGAGGATTGTTTTGTTGTGGGCTACGTTCGGATCTGCTGCAGGCGTTCGTTAGTGATGAGGATTTGGAGGATATGGAGGAGTATAAGGATGTAGACTCGTGGCCAAAAGAGATGCGCGAGACTGCTGAAGCCAAGTGTGGTGTTGATAGTCTGCAGGACAAGTGGACCGGTACGTTATGACTAGAAGTGCTGATGTTGGTCTTTTGAGTCGATGGGCTTATCGTGAATGACGTTTCTGGTGCGTCGTACTGCAGAAATGGTGGAGGCATTACGTCAAGTTGAGCGTGAAGATGGTGGTGACTTGTACTGCGGCCATCTGCCCCATATCAAGTGCAAGACACTTGTGGTTTCCGGCGAAAAGGACAAGTTTGTGCCATTATTCCACGGCGAGTACTTGAGCGAGCGCATCATGCATTCTCGACTGAGCGTGGTACCTGAAGGTGGGAATGACCTTGTGCTGTCCGAAGCCGAGCGGTTTAACACATTGCTTGAGACCTTCTTGCAGGAGCCCGATGACAAACTCACACAGAGCCGGGAATTTGTGGCTGTACCGTCGAAGGTGTAAATAACGAAGGAATGGATGGAAGTGAAAGCCGACCGGTCAGTAGACAGTCAAACAGCGCACGCACGGACAGGGCCGCTTGTATTTACATAGAGACTTCACCCTGAGCTCTTTCCCATTACGCTATTCAGCTACTTGAACTAGTTACTATACGCTAAGCCCTCTCGGCTGCTGATAATGCTCATGTTGAAAATGAGGTCGAAGTGACAGTTGCCATGCTGGGCGTCATGGACAGCGGCCGACTGTACTGCTGCTCCGTGTGTGGGTGCTGCTGCTGTTGTTGTTGATAAGAAAACTGCTGCAACACAGGCTGCTGGTGTGGTGCAGGGCGGTAATTGGTGTACAATGATGGCACACCCAGATTCAAGCTCGATCGGCGATTCGCATCAGCATAGTATGCCTGCTCCACGCCGACCTCGCGAGGTGAACAGGATGATGTCATGGCGTACGACGGCATGCTCATTGTTCGCTTCAGCGGGGCGACATGGTTGCTAGAAGCTCCAGCGTAATAGCAGTTGCGGCCGGCCGCAAACGAGTTGGAATGATTTAAATTGGGACCCATATTGGTACCTGTTGCAACTCGAGAATCGTCCTCTAGGATGCCCTGTAGTAGCTCACCAAAACCCTCTTCATCTCCAAAGGGCGCCGGCGTGAGTTGTTCGTACGCATTTGGTTGCGGCTGCACCGCTAGCGCATACTCGATGCTGTTGTTGCCGTACCCGGAATTGTAGGCTCCGTACTGCTTAGTCGAGTTCTCGTAGCCATAAGCTTGATAAGGCATTGCAGACAACGTTGGTAATTCAGGCTTCATGAGCTGCGGTGCAGCACATGATCGAGAGGTGGACGCAGGGAGCGGGCCGCTTGACACACTCCGAGCTCGCTTGGGCGGGTTGGAACTTAATGAAGACGAAGACAAGGACGACGGGGTGAAGTCACGGATGCTGCGCTGCTGTGGAGGAGACTCATGGTCGGCCGTGAACTCGGACGGCTTAAAGTCGAGCTCGGATTGGCCCATGCTACGCAGTCGCAGCACGGCCTCGTCGTAGCGCATGCCACCAAGAGCCTTGCTGATTGCCATGCGACGATTGTACTCGGCCTCCTCGACAGACTTGGCATAGTGCCATTGGTCCTTCCCGCACCGGCAGTGCTTGCCCTCGGCGCCCTTGTAGCGTCCAGATTGAGTCAAGACTGAGCTGTTGCTGGGAGAAGACACCACTGCGCACTCACAGCAGGGGAACATTTGCTTGGAACGGAACGTGCCCAGCCAGTTGGACTTGAAACGAGGGAACCAACTTTTCCGGTCACGGGTCTTTTCCGGTCCATCGCCAGCGTTATTAGAGCTGTATCCGGTGCCAGTTTGGTGCACGCTTTCACCGGTCGGGTCAGCTGAAGCGGGAATGAATGTCCAGCGACAGTCAAAGTGCCAGTAGCTGTCTGTCGAGTCGTTGTTGTCTTGGTCGCATCTGACTCGAGTTGAAGGATGTTCGAGTTGAAGCGTGGCCATGGCTCTGGGCACTCCACCTCTTCTGTCCTCGTAGTCTCTCTCTCTCTTTTGTAGCACAGTGTCAGTCGGTCGTACGCCCGTGACGAGCTTCCGACAGAGAAAGAGAGGAAATGAGCATCACGACTTACTCAGCTGGTGCAGCTCTTACTGATCGGCTGCCGGAGAGGACACTCTTCCCTGAGCATCGGACGGGCGGACGGGGGACAGACGGACGTGACAGCAGCAACGCAAGAAAAAAGGGACGAGTGCCGTCCGCCGCGTCACACACGGCAAACCCCATCATAATGTTTTCCTACCTCTGGACTGGCTGAGCACCATTCAAGACCGACGTGCACGTTGTCCGAGCTGGCAGTGATGGTGCCATTCAAGACCAGAGATACGTCGATGGCAGCAATCGTACCAGACGATACACATGGACTTTACACTTGTAGTAACTACAACAAAGTGATCACTGAGCTGTGCAGCGGCAGCTGGGGTGCTACGCTAAGCCGTCTCAATTGCATGGTTTGATTGGGGATCGCCTTCATTGATGTGCTCGTATCTGGATGGATCTTCCCATCTCTGCCTTAAAAAACCGTTACATGGGGACAAGGGACAAGGGAGAAAGACCACGAAGACGAGACTGCTTCACTGTCGTTACGCGAGGAGAATGCTGATAGAACATAGAAACAAGGCGAAAACTAGACGCTGCTTTGCATTCAATGGAGATGCCGGGCCTTTGCCATTCGATCCTGTAACTCTATACAAAAGCATTGGGAAGAAGAATGATCATCTTGTCGCTAACTACGGACCAACTCTCGGCTATCAAGATGGCTGTGGTTCGAACCCCCCCCCCCATGAAAAACTCGATGATGTGTTGATACTAAGAAAGCCAAACTAGTCAATCGGTTGCTGATCCTTCAGTAAATACTTCCAGGGGTCCATCGAATTGCATTCAAAGTATCAGCAACAAGTGGGACAGAAGTGAAGTCGCTGACTAGCTTTAAATATTGGCAATAAACCTCGCACATCTCGGTGGAGTCAGGACACGAGTGATTACGCCGCAGGACATCCCCTTCTGATACGTATCAGCTCTGGGCATGATCACTTGAGTCGCCTTGGATGCAGCGTTTGACACGGCAATCGCAAATGAGACCAATTCATTCACTACATTCTCCATATTTTCCTGCATTCTCTTGTCTTTTTACAACATTGGCATCACCATCTATTCAACACTTTGGGACATCCAACTCACCGTCCAAAAACACTTCTGACGAAGCTGTTGCCTCCTCTTTTTCCTGCACCTTTGTATCATCTCCATGTTCACTACATGTCGCTACTTCGTCACTGCCACTTTGCTCACATTTAGCAGCCGTCTCGTAATCTGAACCCTCCAGTGTCACCTCATGTTCACTAGCAGGCCAATTTTCAATGGCCGGTTCCAAAATGAGTTTCTGCGCTACAAACAGACTCGCGTCACGGTTGCTCCAATAAATGACGTGTGCCGTCAATGCAAATAAATACTCGTTCGCAATCTCGATCTCATTCTCTTGCAGAGAATAATCAATGGGCAGTCCTTGACATAATCGACCAAAAACTGCTACATTCTCGATACTTTCATCGCCTTCCCGCTCCTCTCTTTGCTGCTCACCCCGAGTCTCCTCTCCTAGACGGAATTGTTGCCCTTGATACGGTTGCGTTACAACCGCCAGCGCATCAGACAGCGGCGTCGTTGATGCGGGACTTTCCACGAGCCCCACACTATGTGCGCCAGCAAGTACCTGATGCTCGAAGTCACGACGCCAGTGACGAAGAGAAGCCCACATGGCACGGAACGAATTGCGTAGTTGATACTGGAATCGCAGCTTACCCTCGAACGTACGGATGATTGTAGCCTTTGAGTACGCACGTGCAGGATTCAATATGGGCTCAATACGGTAAGCCACCGGGTCGTACGGGTGATAGATGTTAAACAACCGCCGGCAGCGAGGGAGCTGGAACTCTCGGTTCAGCTTCTGTCCCCGCACATTCAGAAAAAGACCCACTGGAGACCCAAAGCAAAAGAGGTCTTCTACGTCAAATGCAAGCTTTGGCACCAGCGAAACAGCACCAATGCCTGCAGGTTGAGCAGTAGCACATCCAGAGGCCTTATGCTTCTTCGCAAATTTGGTCTTTTTAGGCATTGTCTTCTTGTGGCGAGGCGTCGTCGAAGACTTTTTCCGGCCAGTGCGGCCAGTAGTTGGTGTCTTAGAGGACGCTTCTTGACTTTTCTGGCAAGCATTTTCTTGGTCGCACGTGCGGTTCGTATTTGACATTTCCAACATCGACCGTGAGCGCCGCTTTAACGTTGTGTTCGCAACGGCGGCGTCGAATCCAAACATATTGTCAGTCAGCAATTCTGCATCTCCATCGTTCCCGGTACACATGTTGCTATCATCCTTGCTCTCACGGCTGTTCCCGATTGCCACGTCTTCTTCGTCGCTACCGCCTTCGTCATCAGTACACGGCGTGCTTCGCGGTTGCTGCATGTAGACATCTTGGTGATTCAGAATGTCAAAGCAGATGATGGAACCCAGTGAGTGAGCAATTATTGACACTTTCTTGCGCTTCTTTCCGGAAGCACGCGGTTCCATCCAGCCCGGGTGGCGAGACTGAAATAGCAAGAACACGCGATTCATCTCCTTGGCGACTTCGTCCAAGATGACCTGGTGAAAGAGTGGCGACATAAAGAACAGTACATCCAACACTGTGTCGTTAGCTAGCTCACGAAGCTTCGGAATCGCTGGCAATGTCACATCGCGAATAAGCTGGTCCAGGCCTTCCATGTGTAGTTTTGAGTGCCACTCGATGGGCAGGAATTCCACGCATGGTCGGCGCGAAGCTGCCTTGTCGTCGCCCTTAGCATTTTTTTCAGCGTCCTTGCCACCCAAGTGAGCAAAATGCGCGGACCGAAGAGCCTCACGGTTCAGCTCCCGCAGCGTTGTTGAACAATCAATAATAGAGCGCAACGACACAACGTTAATCAAGTCAAGCGTCTTAAGCGCATCGCCGATGCCGTGCACAATGAGCACAAGATGTTCAATCTCCTCTTCAATATCTTTGTCATCTTCGGTCACCTTCAGTGGTTCACTAGTCAAGACGTTGCACTCCATAGCATCCTTCCAAAGCTGCAGATTGGTGGGATCAGCACGCACGCGCGGGTCTCCGCGATAAACACGGCGCTTACTTGTAAAAGACGTTGTGCCTGCTAGCAAGCGTTTGTACTGCATTATATCTTGTGCACCTTTAAACTCAACGAGATGTCCTTCGACCGGGATTCTAAGCGTGCAATCTTTCTCCACGCGAGCTGCCAGAACTGCCTCATTGAGACTGTTGCGGGAGCTAAACAAGCCGCGCGGCTTTTTTGCCTCAATATCCATCAATCGTTGTTTTTCAAGCGGGTACAACCCCAAGTAATACACGAAAGCGCTTTCTAACACAGCTGCGGCTTCTGGATTGTATGGAGCCAGACCGTAATTACGCTGGGCGAAGACCCAGCGAGAGCGGCACACGGCAATTTCCTCGAGAGCTGGCCAGTACACTGGCATCATGCGCATAGTCTCCAAGTCCACCTCATGGCGACCTTCATCCACCAGAACAATTCTAGAAGGTCCGATCGGACCGGCCACCTTGCTCTTCTGCCGCTGATACCACCGAAACTTCCGTTCAAGACGACGGCCCTCGTGTGCAGGAAACTCAATCCAACCGCCCGATCCGCCTGCACCTGTAGTGGTCGGGTTAGAATTAAGCTGAGTAGATTGGTTCGGATTCGCTGCGTGGCGTGTATCTGAAGGGATCGCTTTGCTACGTTTGTTCAGTCCGCTGGGTAGGACTTGTCCGTTACCACTGGAGACATCAATCTTCTTGTAAAACCAGATGGGAAAGGTGTTCTCATCTTGCTCAGCCAGCTCAACGGTCAGGATTTTGTTGGACGCTATCTGCTTTGGCGTGAGTGGGACACCGCCTACATCGGGAAACTCGCGCTGCAAGTCACCGTACAGCATTTCATTCTGCAACTTGATAGTGGCTAAAAACTCAAACAGTTTAAAATGTGACGCAATGGTGCGCATTCTCTGATGAACAGATCGGATCACTTCACTGCGTCTAGCAACACTCAGTGACTCGTACGGTCCTCGTCCAAGGATATTCCACTGAACCATACTCAAATGCTGGTCCAATACTTCAGTAGCCGAGTACAAATGTTCCACCAACGATTGTACACGCGTTGTACTTCCTTCCAAGAATAAATCCGTCCTGTTTTCAATCTCAGCTCGAGATGGAAACACAATATAACTTGGAAAAATAACAACGTATCGCACAACACTCTCCGCTGCTCCCAATGGTGGCAGTACTAAATGTCGTAGCAAAAAACTGCGTCGCATGGAATTCTTGGCAACAAAATAAAGTTCCGGTAATTCTTCACTTGTGACAAATTGAGCCAAGCCTTCCATTCCACGTAAAAGAGGGACAGCTACTTGATGTTGTACTGGGATCAATAGCGATGGAAGTTTGGCCGTTTCAACTTGACTTTTCATCCGATAGAAAACTCGTTGACCTGTTCGTGTGCATGTGAGACGTAACTCGACCATTTGATCATGGGAATGACTTGCAGCATCAACAACACAGTCACGTGTTGCACCTGCTGCTTGTTTTACTAACTCAGGAGCTCGACGGACGAGACTGCTCGAAATTTGACCACATAACGAGAATAAAAAGGGAAATGGCGTAAAAGCTGCGAGTGTGTTCCATAGAAAACCATGAGAAGTATCATCGTGACGTGTAGCCATGTCATGTCGAGCATCACGTACCATTTCAGCCACATGATACATAGTGTATTGACTTAAGAGAGGAGGAGGAGGGGGGGGGGGCAACTATACTGTCTGTTTAATTGGCATGACGGTTTTTTTGCAACTGATGCAATCAAACGAGATGGTGGTGGTGGTGTTTTTTACGAAAAGTATTACAGATATAGCCGGGTTTTTTATTTTTTTCTTACCTTTTTTTTGCGGAAAAGAGTAAATTGTTTTACCTTTTGTGTCAGAAACGAAGACTACTACTTACAAGAATAGTAATAGTACTCTCGTCATATACGATGGCGATAGTAATAGTACTGGCCTCGTATCTTAAACACGCTGTTCTTTTTATCCAATCACCGATAGATTGTCAACAACAGTGAATGGCCCGGCAGGTGGACGTCGCGACGCGGTCACTTGGGCGCCTAAAGCTCTTCTATACAGGCGCTCCATCACCTATTCGAACTTGCTGCTTCTTTTCCAGTATTTCCTCTTGCAATGCATCCAACTCCGAGTCTCCAAGTCTATTTAAAACCTCCAGTATCACGCACCAAAGTTTAGTCACCAGTGCACCAAACCTCCAGGCTTTACAGCACATGCGCTGGCTCCTGCAGCAGCCACAGCGTCGCATTTTATTCCTCACAGGAAGTTCTGCATCTGATTCATCTGTTCGAGCAGCACTGGAGCGAGATTCACCGGTGTTTGAGCTGGAGCGACACGGCCACGGTGTCTTTAGTGTGCGTGAGTTCTGTCAGCTGCTGCTGCGTGAGCACGGCCACGAACGTCGTGTCTTTGGTCACGCTCAATTGGCGGCATTGCTGATGCACAGCAGTCAAGATGTGCCAAGTGTGGCTCGACTCACGGCAACGTCGATGCTGCAGAGACGTAAAGTGACGCAAGATTTACTGCAGCTTTTCCAGCTGTTGGAGCGAGAAGGGATTGCACCTGAAGAGTATTCGGTAGCAGTAGCTGCATCGGGAGAGCCATTGCCACAAGAACTGTCCGAGATGTATACAAGTTTTCAAGGACTATTGAGGCAGCATAATGCTACGTCATGGGATGGACTGGTACTGGACATGTTGACAATGTGCAGAGTACAAAAAGGAGACGTGGAGAACACATTGGCCAAGAATTTGAGTCAGGCAATGGTGCGAGAATACACGGATGTGGTGGTGGACGATGTGCAGAGGATGACACCAGCGATGGCAAAGCTAGTGGGACATTTGTGTGGTCAGTCCAGTGTGCAGTCCAGTGCCAGCTTCAGCCGTGTACTACTTGAAGGAGAGAATTGTCCACGAACACAGATTTTGGAGCGACAGTTGCTGTCGACGGCAGCAGATACAGGTCAGACATGTACGCTGAATCGCACTGCGTTTGAGATAGATAACAAACCTCCCAGAGCGAAGATGCAAGCCTTTGCACGGCAGGTGTTGACGCAACGCGCTGATATTAATAACGATGTGCCCGCGCCGGTCCCGTTGAAGTGCTGGCGCTTTGGTACTTTCGAGGCCGAGGAGAGGGGTATTAGTGCATTTCTAGTCCGCAAATTGGCGGCTACTGGAGCTATAAACGCCACTGTGGTATGCCCCACGCATGCAGATGCACATCGAATCACGTTGGCATTTCAGAAGCAGGATCTACCAGCTCAAGTTGATGGCGAATATTCAGCAGCAAGTGTCTCCACTGGTGCACCTATCCACCTTTTTGACGAGCCTGGTGTGAACGCAGTGTATTCACTACTGTGTGCGTTATGCTTTCCGAGCGACTCGCGTCATCTTTACAACGTTTTGCGGTCAGACTGTTTTGCTTTTCCGGCAGAGCTTCTTTCGTGGTTGATGGAGAAGGAGCATCGAAGCCACGTTGATCTGTTTACGGTCCTTGAGACTTTTGTCGAAAATCATGGCAAGTCGCTTGGCACCTCCCTGAATAAAAAAGAAGGGGAGAAGCAAAAGCTGCCTCAAGTAGTGTCTTGTCAGCACGAGGTCGGCTTAGAGATAGCTAAGTCATTTGTGAACATCATGAAGCATCTTCGTACCAAATGTCACGAACTGTCTGCGGCTGAAATCGTGCAGAGCTTTTTGGAGAGGACAGGTCGACTGGAAAAACTACTGAGTCCTAACTCTCCGGAAGAAGAGCGTGAGTCGTTGGTGCTGGCAGATTTTTTACGGGAACTCGAGACCGCGCAAGAAGTTGCAATGAGTGATAAAATACCGTTTGTGGTGCCATACTTGCAGCAATTAAGGGAAACGAACTTGATTTCGTCAGCTTCATGGGCAGATACATTCGACGTTAGTACGAAGACAAGTGCCAAGGATGCTTGTATCCGTGTAATCCCGCTGACAGCGTACGCGTTACATTCTTACGCATCTTCCCTGACTGATGGTGAGGAAGGTCGCAAGCATGTGTTGATATTGATGTCAATGCGCGATAGCAAGTTCCCTGGGCGGATGAAACGTCTCACTTTGCCGCTCCCGTATGATCTGCTCAGCGAACCATATCCACTGCAAACACGTATTGAACATCTCGAGCAATGCCAACAGCTTGCATACAAGGCCTTAACGTTGAGCGAGTATGATGAAGTGGTGCTGTCTTTTGCTGAATTTACAGCCATCTCGGCATCCAAGCACGAAAGTTTAAGCCGGACCTTTCAACCGATCTGGCAGGAAGGAGACCAACCAGCAACAGGTACCAGCTATACCGGCGGCAGCAAATGGAAGACTGAATCAAGCTGTGCCATTTCTTCACGAAATGAGCAGTCAATGTCCAAGCAATCTGCTTCGATAGAGGACACATCCTCTGTGCAACATGAGACCTCAATCTTTTCGTTCTCGGAAATAGCACATCTCTTGCTTGACTTTGTGAATCGCATGATCCCTTCAATCACGCGATTGAGAAAGTCAGCAAGGCATGATGATCATCGGAAAATAGCCGCGGATGTTTCCTCAATAACAAAGAGTGACGATCACCAAGCTGGTAGGTATCGTCATAATCAAGAAACACCGTACGTGAAGCAGCCAAAGATTACGACGTCGATTTTGGACCCTGAGAGCTCTACACATAGTACAAGCATGGACACTCGTCTTCCAACGGCGTCAGCAGCAAGTGCATCATACGAACCGCCACATTTATCATACTCGCAAATCTCAGAATACCTGCGCTGCCCACATCGTTACTATTTGGGCCGCATATTGAAGCTGAATGGAGACGTATCAACTCCTATGATGTTCGGGAGCGCGCTACATGAAGGCATAGCTGCTTTTGCAAAAGCGATGGCAGAGGCTCAGCTGAAAGAAGAGGTTGCACACGAGGCGAAGGCACTTGCTACTGTGAAAGCGGAAGAAGCTTTTATGCAGTCCTGGGTAGATGACGGGTACGGACTTTTTAAGGAGCAGTCATCTGTCTTGTTCGAGCGAGGCATGATGGCGCTAAGGGATTTCATGGAGACACACTTCAATGACTTACAATTGGAAGCGATTATCCACGTAGAGCAAGCGTTCTCTTTTTGCGTCCCTGAAGCCAATGTGGAATTGTGCGGTGTCTGGGACCGCATCGACCGTGTTTCGGACCCAAATGGCGGTGGGTCCTCTAAGTATATCATTAAAGAGTTCAAGTCTAATATGGGTGGGGCCGAACGCAACATGGGCAAACTAGCACGCGAAAGCTTACAGCTTAAAATGTACATGTACGCTTTCTGCAAGGTTTTTGGCGAGGCACCATACGGAGCCAAGCTACAGCAAATTGGTGATAATTACAGCGATCCGAGTAGCAACGCTACCAAGCGTACCAGAAGCAAAAGAATCAGCAAAGCAGGGAATGATGACAACGGATTTGTCCTCTTCTCAACCGAAGCATCGCAGGAGGCCGAAGATGCTATCGTTGAGGTCGCAACGGGCCTTCGTCGTGGAGATTTTGAGCCCAAGCCAAGCTTCGCCGAGTGTGCTTTTTGTCCGTATGCAGGGTCTGCCTGTCATTTTGCTACCGATGATGCATCGCGTGCACGTCGATCTGCAAGAAAAACTCGCTTGGCAGTCCAAGGATGAGCTTGCCACATGTGGACAATCAACTCGGATGATGAAAACCAAATGGAACTGGTATATTGGACATCAACACTGACGTTACGTGACATGGAAGAAAAACATCTAACTCGCTCATGCTCGCCGTATTCAAAAGGCTCGGATCACAATGGGCTCACGGTGCAATCCCATAAGGACTGCAAGCTGGCTGCCTTCAGGAACCGACTGCAGCTTGTGCACTATCGCTTGCTGCCGCTGAAACGCAGCATTCGTGAATAAAACTCGCGCACCTGCTACGATGACCCCACCGAGACGGTCCTGCTTTCGGTATATTTCGGGGATAATCACTGGCGGAGCCACAAAGTCATCTTCATTACACGAGTCGTCATCCGAGTCCGAATCGCTTTGGCAGTCGACCATGTAGACGTCGTCACCCTCTTCCGTATCATCCGATGACCGAATTTCCTCCTTGTCCGTCGACAGTATTGCAGGCTCTGCCACATACAAAAGGGCTTCATTGGTTTTGACTTCTCGTCGACAGACGAGGTAGTTCCGGATTCGATCACGTTTTCGACTTTTCGTGAGTATCTCGACTGACTTGGACACTGGTTTTGTAGCAAAAGTAAATGCATTTTGAACGACTTTTACTTTTGCTACGAGACCGAATCGACTTTGTCGCAGGTTGGAACATGGCCTTTGACACTCACTAGATGTGGTTTTTCGAGCTAATTTCAATGATGTCGAGTGCTGCTGGAGTCTTTGGAAACAATTGGTCATTTTTTCTACAGTCCGATGATTGAGACTGGACTTTTCACCCATGAGTTGTGACAATTGATTCAATTGAGATGACAATGTTATTTTCAATATTGTCTCGTTTGGCTTCCAGAGTATTTTTATCAATGGCATCAGAATAGTTTTATATATAAGAGCTGCTGATTCTAAACATTAGGAAAATATTTGGTAAAAATAAGTACAAGAATCTGAGGACATGTGGTTTCAATATGTGGTATGGAACTCACCGTCTACATCTGATTAGGTAAAATTCCCTATACAAAAACATAATCATTTTTTTTTTGCAATGACTATATTTTGCAATGACTATTATTTAACGTGTCGAGTAGCGGTATTCGGGCCAATAAATCAGGGTGTAAATACACTATACATCTTGTATACACTTTCGTATCGTATATCACACGTAATATATCACTAAAATCATGGAATTTTATCCTCTGAATGGAGCAAATGCCGCCGACGCTGCGACGTGTGCCGCGCTTTTCGCGGATCACATGGTGCTATTGGTACGTTCATTTTCTTCTTCAGATCTGTCTTGACCTCACTGAGTAATTTTGACTCTTATCCCTTGAGTATTCACCTCGTAATCTTCTAACAAAATTGTGTATCATTTTCTCCCCTTTGATACCTTTAGCCCGCTGTTTCTAACGCAAATCTAGGCCAATTGACGCTGGATCTACTGATTAATACGCTACTGCAGAATGGAGAAGCTTTTGTACGTGCAACGGTCTTTTCTCTGCCGGTCTTTTGACTCTAATCAGTCCACTAGAAGGTTCTTAACTCATCTCTGGATCTGAATTAGAACGTGGAGATCACATGCGTCGGCCATTTGCTCAGCAATGCACTTCCTGCTATTGCTGGTGGTGCTGCCTTTTCTACACAGCAGTCACACGCTCTGTGTCTTAACCTAGAGGGTGTGTGTGATGTGTCAAGAGACTTATTCAGGAGAAGGAGCTAATTCGTTTACAATTGCTGCAGTGTATCAGTGCAAAGAAAAGAAGCTCATGATCATTCAACAGCGAGCTTCTGTCTTGCCAGTATGAGATTTCATCGATATAGTCTAATGGCTGATAGCTTTAGTGCTGATTGATGACTTGTGTATGGACTGTAGGGACGAGCACGTGAGTTTGTCCGAGAGTTGGCGGAGTGGGCGAGTACTAGTAAAGTGGCAGCACTTGGTGTTGTGGCTGGATGTGACGACATGCTACGTCATGACTCCAACATGATGAGGTTCGACACTTGTGTGTAAATTCGAAGAAATGACTTTTTACCTGCTAACACGTGACTTTTGTTGCTTGCAGTCGCCCGATCCGTACTATCTATTCAGCTGATGCTGCTCAACTGGACGACTCATTTTTGACTCGTTTTGAGGGGCTCACTACCAACATTGAGAGTGCTTCCCGAGTAGCCGAGCCGCTTTTGTCGTCTGAAGACCAATGGGAGCTACTCCGTGGTACTGGCATCGCTCCACTGTTGCATGCGCAGTGCGATGAGCTGAAATTGCCGTTCGTCGCATGGGTTATGCCGTGTGCCGAAGGCAACAACGTTCCTGACGCGGCTGCCATGGCTACACAGCTCTTTTGCTTTTTGCGAGTGATACCCAAGCATCTGACTGCTACTCCGACGGATGTTTCTAGCTCAATGCCACCAATGCTTCCGTTTGCGTTTCCGCCTTCATGGAACCAGCTTTTTGGACGAGGACCTGATGTGTCGCTGTACCTCTAATATAGATTGCAAGGATGCTACACTTCGTGTATTCCTGACTAATGTGATTCCCATATTGTTGACGAGGAGATTTTGTGCGAATGGTGCAAGCTAACAGTCAAGTGCAAATTACTTGACCATCAAGAAGACGAATGTCCTAAGCGCGAGCGACAATGTTTACCTGAAACCTTTTGGTCTTGTAGTCCGTCAATACGATCCTGGCCACGACACTAGCGAACCATCATGAGTTATACGAGTGCACAACTAGGACGAGACAACAGGACTCGAAAATGGCTATAGACTTACAAAGAAGACTGAACACAAGAGACAGCCAATGATCAATCTATCCAGCAATTGGACAAGGTTTGTATTGCAAAATAACGCTATCGAGCGCTCATGCAACCGACCGACAACTTAAGCCACTAGCGTTGAGGCCGTTGCCGACTCGTACTTCCAGTTAGGCGAGAGCTTGCGGTTCTTGCGGTAGTAACGAGCCAGGCGATGAATACGCGACTCAATAAGAATGAGACGGAATTTCGAGTCCTTATCCTGACGATTGCGCTCCAAATGTTTACGGACAGCCACGGCCTTCTTAATGAGCATGTACAGGTCCTCTGGTAGTTCAGGGGCAAGACCTGATTATTGTGATTCGTAATCAAAAGAAACCCGCGTACCCCCACGTCAAACAGAGAGGCAGAAGCAGAGCCATCAAATCCGTAGCGTCAGGTGGTACCGAGCATAGAGCCAAGAAATAGCACAAAGGAAGAGATTACGTCAATAACTAGACACGTTATAGAGTTTGAGGACAATAGGACGCACCGTTCTTTTTGAGAAGACGCAGCACCTTGGAGCCAGTCACGCTCTTGACCTGGGCAATACCGTGCGAGTCACGAAGAATGACACCAATCTGCGATGGGGTCAAACCCTTTTTGGCAAACTTGCAAATGTGGTCCTCCACGTCCTCAGACGAGATCTTGAGCCATGAAGGTGGCGTGCGTTTGTACGGGCGAGCAGATTTGCTCATACCCTTGCCGTGAGAATGCATGCGACCCATGGTGACGAAAGTATTTGGTGACTTTAACTTGCTGGAGAGGAGATCAAAGAGTGGATGAAGATATTGAGGAGCTCTCGATGCTTCCCAACCAACCAATTATTGAGCAGAAAGAAGGGGTAACGATTGGTTGAAAGTCAGTCTTATATGCGATTTGATTGGTGGAAGAAGGAGAATACGCAGGTATGGGCACTAGTGATGACGAGGGCGTCGCATTCCGATCGAATGCACTCGATATAGTGAGTTCTTGGCTGCTTGGTGGAGATGGCAATGAGGACAAGATAAAGCAGGAGATGCAACAGAAAGAACGCCGCCCCGTGACACTATATCGTCCTTCTTCGTCCTCTGCGCCGAGTCTTACGCGACCCAATGCCGGTCATGTGGACGTGACACTGACGGAGACGGAGCGCGAGATGAAGCGCAAGCTACTGCGTAAATCTCGAGGAAGTCACCTAGAGGAGGCAGCTCTAGCAGAAAAAGAAGTGCAAACGCAGTGGGACGAAGCACAAGACGAAGAAGAACAGGAACTTGTGCGTCTTAAGACACAGACACCGAAGGACGATAGGAAACGGAAACGTACAGTACAAGACGAATTGCTGGATAAACTGAGAGAAGATGCAGCTAAGAAAAAGGCAAAGAACCTGAAGCGAAAGCTGCAACTACAGCGCAAGAAGCAGCAGCAGCAGCGACAGCTGTACCAGAACGATGTCACCGCCGTGAATTGATGCGCCGTATTCACCTCACTTATGTACTTGTAACTTAACGATGGAGACGGAGCTTAGCACTGTCTATTGTTCTTGTGTTGGTGTTGGTTGGTACAATAGTATCGAATACTGATAGCCATGGCCATGCAGTCTGCTAGATGTATCTCTGTTATAGAGATGTTTTATGTGCTTGGACACTAGTTCACTCTGCTATTTCTAAGAATTATACAACTGACGTAACCACGCAACTTAATGATATCCCTCTGTAAGGCCTCTATAATATTGTATTGATCATCTCTTTTTTTAAGTTGCGCTCACTGTAAATTGCCTCCTAACAAGGGGAATTTTCTTATTTTTACGTCTTTTAATTTGTCCACAGTATTCAACCAATCACCATCGCACACTTCACGACAGCAACTTCTACGACCATCACTCTTGCGTGACTTTCAACGTCATTTTTTTCTATTCACTTTTCAATTTACCAGCAATCCCTCCCATCAGCTCTTTTTTTACGTGTCTTTTTTTCCATCAGCGATGGGCAACATCGTTTCATATTCGCTCGAATCTCTCTACGGCAGCTTGACCTCATACTTTGGCAATCGTGAGAGTCGCATCATGATCATCGGTCTTGATGGTGCAGGCAAGACGACATTCCTCTACAAGATCAAAGTGGGTAAAACCGTGACTACGATCCCTACCATCGGTTTTAATCTTGAGAGCTTTAATTATAAGAACATTAAATTTACCGCTTGGGATATCGGTGGACAAGAGAAGATCCGCTCTCTCTGGATGCATTATCTCTACAATAACGATGCCATTATCTTTGTAGTCGATGCAGCTGACATTGAACGTATTGACGAGGCAAAAGAGGCTTTGCATCTTATCTTTGAATCGGAAGAGCTCGCTACTACGAAGCTACTAGTATACGCGAATAAACAGGATCAACCTAACGCCTTGTCGGCAAATGAGCTCCGAGAAAGATTGGAGTTGCAGGACGTGACCAAGAATCCCACCTACGTGCAGCCCTGCATTGCAAATACTGGAGAGGGACTGTATGAAGGCCTCGATTGGTTGAGTAAGGCAGTTATAGGGGAGATCTCAGTGTAGGTTTGGCAACTTTATCATGCCACGTTGAAGTAACAAGGGTGCAGCAACTTTAACATCCCGAATCAAACAGCTGGCGATTGCTATCGATGTAACTATAGCTTACTTCGTTACATAGTCGAGCCAAAGTTGAAGTAACAAAAAACCGAACTTTGCAGCACCTTTACCTGTACAACTTTATAAAAAAACGTTTGGAAGCGTTTTAAACATCCGATCACTCATTTGTTCAATTGTAGCCAACTCGATGAGTGTACGTACAGAGGAGCAGTGGTTATGGGAAGCCCAGGAATGGGTAAATATGGACGTAAATATTAGCACTAAACTGCAACTTCAGAAGCTTATTGAGACCAAGAACATATCACGTCTTCAAGAGCTTTTTAGCAATCGCGTGGCCTTTGGTACCGCTGGTCTACGCGCCGTCATGGGACCCGGTCCAGCAGCAATTAATGATCTGGTTGTGATTCAAACATCGCAAGGCATTTGCAAGTATTTAATGAAACAATTGGGGAAATGTGTAACGACACGAGGCATTGCAGTGGGTTATGATCATCGTAAACAAGACTTTTTAACTTCCAAGAGGTTTGCAGAGCTCACAGCAGCAGTTTGTGTACATTATGGCATTAGAGTTTATCTCTATGAGGACTTTGTAGCTACACCACTAGTCGTAAGTTTGTTGCTAAGAAATTTGTCAAGCTGAGACGACTGTCTAACTGATGATGTTTGGTGTGGGATAATGTAGCCATTCTGTATTGAACAGAAGAATTGCGTTGCAGGTATCATGGTCACAGCTTCACATAATCCCAAGACTGACAATGGCTATAAAGTTTATTGGGGTAATGGTAGCCAGATCATTCCACCGCACGATGAAGGAATTGCCAATGAGATTATGAAGAATCTAGCTCCGTGGAGACGCTATGACGGCTCGTTGGCAGAGCTAAAGAAGACGTTTCCGACGCTAATTGAAAATCCAGGGGACGAGCTCATTAAGTTATACTTTGAGCAAGCGCGTGCAAGATTGTGTCGCTTCCCGGAGGCTAATACCAACACGACGCTCAAGATTGCCTATACGGCCATGCATGGTGTCGGTCATGCATTTACGAGCCGCTCATTTGCGGCTTTCCAGCACAAGGAGTACGTTCCAGTGCAGGCCCAGCTTTTACCTGATCCCGACTTTCCCACTGTGGCATTCCCCAACCCCGAGGAGGGTAAAGGAGCACTGCAACTTGCCATCGAGACTGCTGAAGCCAATGGAGCGAGCCTAATCCTGGCCAACGATCCTGATGCTGATCGTCTGGCCGTTGCGGAGCGGGATCCAAGCTCCAAGTCTGGCTGGCGAATCTTTACGGGTAATGAGATTGGCGTTTTACTGGGCTCACTGGGAACTCGAGCAATATTTGCGACTGCACCCGGATTGCGACCGCAAGCAATTGTACTTCATCGCATCGACAGTATCGTCGAAGATGCTGCGTGCTGTGGCCCAGACCGAGGGTTTAAACTTTGAGGAGACCCTCACTGGGTTCAAGTGGATGGGCAACAAGACCGCCGAGCTCCGTGACGCTGGTAAAATTGTCCTCTTATCTTTCGAGGAGGCCATTGGTTTTTGCGTTGGTGATCTTGTAAAGGATAAGGACGGGGTCGTTGCTGCTGCTGTGTTTGCAGAGATGGCGGTTCAGCTCGAAGCGACGAAAACGATTACGGTGGGTGAGCACCTCAATGCCCTCTATGAGCGATATGGCCACTTTGTGACGCAAAATCACTACGTCAAGTGTTATGACCCCGTCAAAACTCGTGCTATCTTCGAGCGCCTGCGCAATGGTGGAAAATACTGGAAAACCTGCGGAGATTTTGCTATCACCCACGTGCGCGACCTCACCACAGGTTATGACAGTTCTCAGCCTGACAAGCGCGCCGTGCTTCCTGTGAGCAGCTCAACTGAGATGATAACGTACACTTTTGCCAACGGATGCGTCGCCACGCTGCGTACGAGTGGAACGGAGCCCAAGCTTAAATACTACGTTGAGCTTGCTGGTTGTGTGGGTCAGACTCGTGAGGAGGTCACTCTAGAGCTGAGAAAGCAGGTAGAGCAGATCGTGGAGCTCATGCTGCAGCCCAAGGAAAACGGTTTGGAGTTTGCACCTTTGGAATAACTAGGATACCATTTACTAACAGAGCGAGATCAAATGTACGTGTTTACTCTGTTGCTGGTGTAATCTCATGGCTTGTTGTAAGAATTCGTGCTTCATTTTCTGAACTTGTCCAGTCGGTGGAATTGGTGATTGTGTATGTGTGAGGTCAGTATCCGGTGTAGCTCGCTATCAACCGCTGCCTTCATCACTAGGCATCGCAAAGTACATATCTTGCATTGTAAACTGCAATGAGGCCTGGCCTCCAGTTGAATTGCCTTCTTTGATGACTTCAACATCGGTTTCTGTAGACGACCGCGGTGTGAGCGTCTGCCGACCCTTTCCTTTCTTCTTCTTTCCTTTTTGAGCCAAGCCAGCACCGTTCACTGAGTTCTGATCAATTGGTTTAAAGCAAATCGTATTCTTCACGTCAGCAACCGGCTTGGGTGGTGTATCTGACAACGAAGATGCCATGGCCATATTGATACTCGCAGCTAGATCTAACGGTGGAAGAATCTCCGGCATCGCAGGATGATCCCCGCGGCCATCAAAAACTGGCGAACCGCCAATGCCAAAGTACGAATCCATCTCCATCACAAACAGCTGCTCGTCGCCATTGGCATAACCCTCTGGAGCCATCAACATGGTGCTAGTACTGAGATCTTGATTCGAATTTGGCCCCTTGCGCTTTACTTCAAGTATTTGGCCTTCTGGATGGTCCTCGTCGATCGCTTTGAAAGTTACCTTTGGGTGCGCCCATAACGGTAGCGATCTTTGGCCAAACGTTCTCAGTTCACTCTTGGCATAACAATCTCCGTTAGCGCTACCGCTGCTTGATCCGTTTTCGTCTTTAACAACAGGTAAAAGAGGTTCCGATTTTCGTCGCCCTAATGCAAGAAGTTCCCACGACTTGAGCTCAGTCACGCTGGCTTCGAAGCCAAACGAAGACAGTGACGACTTGGAATTCTTCGTCCTTGGATCAGATAATGTTGCACGGGCGTGGTCTGCCTTGTGTTGGGAAAGTGCGGTCACCCGCATATCGTACAACTTCATAACAGAATCACAGCAGATCAACATCTTGAGACCATCAAGAGCAAACAGGCAGCACAAACGCTGACGCAGGCGACGACGACGAGAAGCGACATCCATGTCATTCTCAAAGTGCTGATGGCCAAAATCTATGGCGGATGTGGCAAGTTGAGACAGCAATGCCTGCGACGCATCCAGCGCTGATTCCATGATAGTGCTACTGCGCATACTGCCAGTCGTAGCTGGGCTGTTAAACATGACGCCGGGAGGGGACGATGACGAAGATGTTGACGACATAGACGACGATGATGACGAAGATGATGACGAAGACGATGAACGCGTTGTGCGTGATTTGGAGGAAACTGACGCCGTAGGCTTGTGGGGAGGTACACTAGACACGATAACAGTCTTGAGATCATGACGAATTCGAAGTACCTGGGTCTGCGTCCGCGTCTCAAGGGCGCGGAAGTCAGCATAAAAATCGTTTACTTCACGTCGACAGAAACCAGGACCAAGAGTATCAGTGTCAGATTCATCAGCGCTCTCCACAGTATTTGCATGTGTGTCAGCACTTATGCGCGCTCCTTCGGGGTGGAGCGCGTAGAGATGGCTGGTGCCGTGCGCTGATGTCACATTAATCCATTTTCCATCCTGGCTGAACGAAATATCCTGGATACTAGCGTGGGTGATACCACGCTGTAACTTGTACATCAATTGGTGGTGCAGTGTTCCATGCCCATTGACTGTTGCCCCAGACTTGTTTACTACACTTTGCAGCGGTGGCGACAGGCGATAGACATGAAGGTTTTGGCCCTTTGTGGAGCTCGTTGCCAGAAGGAGCCCAGAAGAATCCAACGACAGGTTTACTAACGCGGTGGAATGACACGGAAAATTTGCCAGCACGCGCTTCGTAACCAAATTAAGCACCACTACCCATCCCGGATGTTTTTTCGACGCGGAAGCTGTTACGTCACCGCTGTTTTTCCTTACCTGCTGTTGTGTGCTACCTGTCGAGCCATTAAAAGATGACTTTCGTGACCGACCACAATTGCGACGATCAGACGGTGATGTCGGCGTGTGATGATTGTGCGTTCCGCTCGAGAGATTGCCAGGTGAGGACGACATATACGGCGCAATAGTAGCACGTCCAACTTTTGACAAATAGTACAATCCCGATGCCACATTTTGCGCTACATCAATGGCTGTGTAGGCTGGTGACGTGCTATGAGATGCATCTCGAGCTTCTACGGCCATCCCACTGTTGACAAGAGCTTCAATCGGGATATCATCAAAGTCCGAGTCGCTGTCTCCTCGACCAGACAATATCTGGTCTTGGCCAGTGCATTGGTTCGTATCAGCACTTGGTGCATATCCAGGATACATCAGCCATCTCCGTCCAAGAGCCATAGCAGGAGAAGCTGTGTGAATAATCTGCTGGAGTTTAAAAGAGACCAAGTCATAGAGAAAAAGCTCTCGAGTCTCACATAGGACAGCAGCCGTCATGGCGTTTGTCTGCACGTCCAGCACAAGAGACGGCGTAGGTGGTAACTTGTACAGCAGTCGCTGCTCGTTTAAAGCAAGCACGACAATCTCTTCATGTCCAGTATCATCCTTGTCTTTAATTTCCAGTGCAGAAGAAGACACAAAGTCGTCATTGTGCTCGTCACTTGAGAGCAACGAGGAGCTCGTTTCTGATACAAACAAAGCTCCGAGAGCATTTAAAGTTGCTGGTAATGTGTAGAGATGGAAGAAACGGACACGTGAGAGACGTGCTGCATCTTTGTTGGGGTCTAGTAGCAGCTAGAAACAAGAACAAAGGATGAATTAGACTGGAAAGGACTGTGAGGCCTTTCAACTCTTTCAGACTCTTTCACGATCAAAACAGCGGTATTTTAAGCGTAATTGACTCACCTGTACAGGTGTACAGCTCTCACGTGTTGTACTAAAGCCATCGAGGCGGTACAGACTCCAATTGGAAGGTGTACACAGCAATAAAAATGAACGATTAGCTACGCGCTGAATGGAGCAAAATGTCACTTCTAGTGAGCTCTTGGGCGCGTTTAACGGCTCGTTCGATACGTTAGAAGATGAAGAAGACGATGGTGTAGTGGAAACGTTGCTAGATCCTCGACGGCGGGAGGTACGCACGCTAGTACGACGCGTTGATCGGATGGACGAGTTCATAAGGATGCGCGAATCTATTGAACTTCTTCTCAGGTTCGTCAGTAGTACCGTCACAGTGTTTTTTTGTATACATGTGTAAAATATTAACCTATACAGGTTATAGGTATTGGACAGGTCGTATATAACGCTAAACCCTTTGCAAGTCTTATCGATTTGACAGGGTTATGTTGTATGCAACCTACGTGACAAACAGTTGAAATGGTGCTAAAAAAGTCAGAATTGTGTTAAAAAGGTCAGAATTGTATTAAAAAGGTCAGAATTGTGTTAAAACGGTCAGAATCACTCTGTGTGTGTGAAAGCCGGGGCTGTCCGCATAGCTTCATGTATACACATCACACGTATACTTACCAAAATGAGCCAAAGGAGCCATGAGACGTTGGGGCTCGTGGTAAACGACGGCCATGGCCTCCTGCTTGAGGCAAAAGGCGACCTCGTATACACGGCATGTGACCAGAAAAACGGTTTCTTCACGTGTATCGCAGAAAAGGCCATTGATCTGGGTCAGTTCGCTGAACGGGGCGACGACGATGACGACGCCGTCGAGCCAGACGAGGACCAGCCACTACCGACTGTGCGTCTGGAAACGAATCGACGCTCGTTGCTGATTGCCAAATGTGAAACCAATGGACGTGAACGCACGATTGTCGTGTCCAAGCCCAGGGGAAAAGCCGACATCGAGTGACGGAGACCAGAAGCTTTTTAATACCGAAAAATGCTCAACTCTTGCGCTTATTCTCAAAGGCTGTTGTTCTTGACGTCATCATCTTTCCAATATCCTTGTCATGTCAATAGTCTTGTTGATGGCAATGTGCCTAATTGTCGCTTTCCACAAAATGCTCATTCTCACTGCGCCCGTCCTCTTTCTCATGTGTCTTCTTGTGTCGTGCAAAATTTGAAACTTGTGTAAACTTCTTCTGACAGCCTTCGTACGGACAAACGTACGGCTGAAACCCTGCGTGCATCCAAATATGTTCCTTGAGCGACACTGAGTGGGCAAAGCTCTTGCCACAGCCGTCATAGTGACAGGTGTAGGGCTTGATACCAGCGTGTGTACGCTCATGGGCACGCAGGTTCGAGCTGTGTGCGTAGCGCTTCGTGCAACCTGCGTACGAACATTTAAGTGGCTTCTCGCCCGTGTGGGTTCGAATATGATTCTGCAACTCCGAGCGTCCGCGAAACTGCTTGGTACACGTCGGACATTCGTGCTTCTTGCTGGGTTTTACGCGTGACTTCGTCACCTTTGGCTTCGAGTACATCTCCACCTGCTCCAAGAACTTGTTTTGGTTCTCGTTATGTGTGATAGCCAACATCTTGGTCGGGGTTAGTGCCAAACTATCAGAAGTATGACGTGCCACATTACTAGTCGTCCCTGCACTCGTTGCTGTCAGAATAGTGCCCCCAACTTGCCGCTCTTCTTCTGTAGATAAAGTAATACCCGTTTGATTAAGAGATTTAATATATCCATCCAACTCAATCATCGAGTCCTTGACGTAGTCACTAATAGCCCACACAGTATTCTCATTCATTTGACCAAGATCAAATGCGTAGCCATCATCATCAATCTGACGAACTGTATCCGGCTGATACTTGCTGATCACATCCATAAGTCCACGGAGATACTGGCTAGGCAGCATCGTAATCTTCTGCACGAGTCGCTGCTTGTCGTAAAAACTCATAGGCTTGACGTTCTCCGGGTACATGTAATCACCCGTTTCAGGGTCCATGTACTTGGTATTCCCTCCAGAGCCTTCTGCCATTGTCGGGACTACAGCAGTCGTAGACGTTGCAAGTGCAGGACCTTGACCTTCATGATCTGTAGTAGCCTCACCAGTGTCCATCACCACTTCCTCTGTACCTAATGCACTTGTGCTTTGTTCCTCCGTACCTGATACAGACACAGAAGAAGGTAACAAAGAGCCGATCGAGAACTGACTCGAAGGACGTTTCTCCAGTACTGTGTTCATGGACGGAATGGGAACTAATCCGCCAAAGTTGTCGACATCACCAAGCATCCATGACGGATCCTTCTGTAGACTCAGTGCCACGTTCGAATAGCTTCCCGAGACGTTCTTTTGTGTCTTCTCGTCAACGTTTTCTTTTGTTACTGACGATGCGTCCAAGATGCCGTCTTTTGACTCGAGAATTGCAACGGATGCGCCTTCTTCAGTAAGTTTTTGACGTTTAATAGGTGGTGACGTGCTTTCATTGGATGAAGACATGGACGCTGTTGAAGTAGCAGGAGCGACGCTAGTCATACTGCTTCTAATCTCTCGGAAGTCAGGTCGGTTCTCAAAACTAGTGTATTCGCGCGGCTTTTTACGTTTGGAAGAAGAAAAGAGTATCGTTCAACTCGTCTCGTCAAGGCAAAGATGATGAGAGTACTTTCAATTGGATTACGTGCGCAGGAAAGATGCTAGCGAGCAATGCACGTTCCAATTTCTATACTGATACTTGTTTTGTGACTGAGGGCAACTCTTTCACAAACATTCGCCCCCCTTCGACGTCCTTCACTCTTCATCAACAAGAAAACCTTTAGTACTTAATTATATTTGGTTATACAGGTAATAAATCGGATGTCATGGAAGAATTGAGCATTGATTTTTAGCCACTTGTGCGTTCATATCCCTATATCTGCACAAGTGTAACTCTCTCTATTTGTGCGTGAGCGCTTATCTTTCCTTCCTCGAGATAACTATTGTAGCCAATGAGATTGTGCCAAATCTGCTCTGACTCGAGTGAAGGTCGCTTGAAGTGGAGTCACTGCGAGTACAAATTGTCGAGATCATCACATCAGCTCTCTCTAATATCCTTATTGCTGTATAGACTTTTTCAATCCACAGTGTTTATGGTTTCACTGAAATATATAAAAAACGACTTTTGGTACTTCAATATCCACATTTGTAGCAAAGTTTTTAGATCATACCAGTCGACTAGAAGAGCTGAACCTTTAGACACAATTTCTTCGAATCTATCACGAAAATTATGTGCGTGATCCACATGGTCACGCATTATGAGACCTCTTATTTCTGCACGACAAGTCTTAACGGCATTGTTTCAGCTGTAGTGGCGTGCGACGACAACCTTATAGTGTTGAGCGTCTGGGAACCTTCTGTTAAAAAGCATTGCAGCTGTTCATTCATGTCTTCCTCTTTTATTCTCCTTCTTCTCATCATTCAATGGCTTCGAACCATCTTCCGTTGCATGTCGACTTGCGTTATTCTTTAGCTCCAGCTGTCGAGATATTCGAACAAAGGAACTGAAAGGCGTTCACTTCTCCATTCAGTGCACCAGTCGTTTCGCCAAGTTAGATTCAGCTCAGCTCTATCTATAGTTTCGTTCAGTGACAGCGGAACAGAGACTTCATTTGTCCAGCAAGTGCCCTTGTCACCGAAATCATCCAGTTGTCTATTTACCACATCAGGTGCATCCATAGTCAAAAACGTCTTTCCAATGACTCGACAAGGCTACCTCATTGTCTATGACAAGAACAGTCATCGTCCGAATGTGTGCTACTTTTCGCTCGAGGACGGATTTCTACGTCAGTACGCAAGTGACGAATGCGTCCAGTGTCTGAACGAGGTGCAGCTCTCTGGGTGCAAAGTCACCATCAAGGCGCAGAAGCGTGTGAACGACGTGCCCAACAGCTTTTACCTGGAGACCCGCAAGGTGTTTGTCAATGACCGGTCCTACACACTGGGAAACCCCGAGCGTATCGAGTTTAGTGCCTACAGTAGCATGGACCGACAGGATTGGGGCAAAGCACTTTTCTCATGGCAGCGCTTCTTCTGGCGTGAACCACAGGTCGCCTCACCCGAAAAGAGCGCTCGTGAGACGCGCCAGCAACTAGAGCAAATTATCGCCAAGTACTTTGTGCAAAAGCCCTCGAATGACCACTCAATCTCGATCGCGGCGGCCAAACAGCCCATCTCATTCCTACAACGCAACGCACACTCGCTGCAGCGCTCGCTGATGTTGACCATGGCGTCCTCTGGTGCTAACAACATGGCCAAGCCCGAGAGTGACGTGAAGCCGACGGACTGCAGAAAGGACAAGGTGGCACTTTCGAAGGTGGAGTGTCCTGTCAAGAGCAACAACACCTGGCAGGCCACTGCCGTTAAGCTGTCTTATTTGCCCACACGTTTCAGCCGCGGCATCAGTCAGGAAGCACACTAGACGCTGTGTTTCTCTAAGTATCATATATGTCTCAATAGCCTAGAAGTCCCTACACGACTGTGTTGCAAGCATTTTATCACCTTGCGCTTACACTGTAGTGTTTCATCTAACCTTCGTTCGTTTATCTAGCCATCGGCTGTAATGAAAAGACCAACGACCCGATCAATGTCCATCCTCATTCAAAGTACAGACTTAAAGCTCGGTGGAAAAGATGCACATATTTATTTGAGCACTTTCTCTCTTCTTCATCATTCTTACACCACTCGTTCGCTCTTGAGTGCAGTAGTATTCGCCTGCTGCTGCTCCTTCTGTTGCTGTTGCTGGAGCTTAAGCAGTTGCTTCCTCTGGCGTAGCTTCTGCGGACGCTTGTCACCAAACAAGGAGCGAAAGCGCGATCGCAACTGCGACGCAGTGAACTTAGACAAAGGCGTGTACTCGTTCACGCCTGTGCGTCCAGTGGCCAGCATTTCCCAGCACACTTTCGACAAGTGGCGACAACGAGGGTCCTTCACGGCATGCTCGAGCTGTCGAATATTGTCATCACTCCAAGCGTCCATTTTGATCGGGCTACTAGCTGGCATTTCAAACTGGCGAAGGTATGCATTCTGCAACTCGGCAGCCGTGAACTGAGCCAGTGGGACGAATCGATCTTCCTTCATTCCACCCGTGGCGAGCACCGACCAGTAAATCTTCTTGCCACGGCGACACGGGTTAGGACGCGGCAGGTTTACCGCTTCATACAGCAGCTGCAGATGATCTTGCGGGAGCAAACGCAGCGGCATGTTGGACGCATCTGACGACGCAAAGCTCACACGATGATCGAACACGTCTGTCGTGCCCATCAGGTTGGCACAAGTCGCGTCATTTTCGCGGCCGAGTGCCAGATCACCCGATGCACAGTAGCGCTGTTGCTGCATCGTTTCAGCATCCGTCGGCTCGATCAACGCTTCCAAGAAGCTGTCATAGGCCTGCACGTCGAATTCGTTCTCGTGTTGGATGTTCAGCGGCTGTAGCAGTGCACTTGAAGATCCAGCAGCGTACACGTGAGGGCCCTGTGACCCGTACGTGTAGTTGACGACTGGCAGCTGTAGTTGCTGCTGTTGATGCTGGTAGTGGACGGCTGCAGTAACGCAGTGCGTAATGAGACGGTTGTGGCCAGTCTTGAAGACAGCGAGGGCACGCTGATCGTGCAGGATGAACTCGAGGTCCCGTACGGCCGAATAACCAAGACGACGCAAATACTCGGCATACTCGAAGCTGATTTCCTTGGGGATTCCGCACATCTCCAGCCATCGAGACACCGTGTAGGACGATGACAGCACGTTAGGTCCCTGGAACCGTCGAGCTTGAAAACTGCGACGCGCCTGTTGCCACACGAGCTGGGCATCGGCGATATTAGCACGCTGCAGCTCACTCACAGCCACGAAAGCCAGAGAAAGCACCGAGTCGAATCCGTCCTGCGCGAGCTGCTGTGCTGCCAGCGTCAAAGCCGTCGAGTCCTGCACGAGCTGCAGACTCTTGAGGAATGTCAGCACGTCATCAGCTAAATAGCCATTCGATGCAGCAGGGTACGTCATGGTAGAAGACGTTGAGGTGGAGGACATGATGGTGTTGTTGCCTACTTCGAAGCCTGCAAAGTCGAGCTTGAGGTCGCTCGATGTCGAGAATGGCGAAGCGGGTGACGACTGAGTGGACGGCCGCTGGCGCTTGCGGTTGCGCAGTTGGGCATCGTTATCCAGTGGCGTGACGGTCACGGCGGCATTGAGTTGTTTGAGCTCTGGCCACGAGGACAGACCAGTGCTAGTGGCAGAAGAAGAGGACGACAAGGGGTCCGTGACAAGAATGTCGACTTGGGGTGGAGTGCTACTGCAATTGGGGTGCATGGATCTCTCGTCTCTTTTTTTTTCTCTTGCTGGACACTCGTTTATTAGTGGTTTTGGATGCGTGAAGTCAAATGGATTATGGCGAGGGGAATCACCGTCACTGCCTTCGTGAAAAAGGCTTATTCACTACTACTTCACCATGTCCATACATCACGAGTATAGCTCTTGGAAAAACTGCATCTATCGTAGCGACGACCAGAAACGGAACACTGCACATCTTCCTTTGACAAAGTATTTACTAGTCTAGCCATAAAGGATTGTCGAGCCAAACGTGACACGTCTGTACCATGAGGCCTTGACTCTCCTACATTCTCGCGTTGCCTTAGCATACTGCATCAATCTAGTGGGGTAGCAAGTAGCGTTGATGGCGCAGACACAATGTGGTGAGCAGATGTTTGCATTTTTCTGGCTAGAGGCAAGCGCGCCGTCCCGATATGATTCGAATAAGGGGCACACATGTGAAGTGTGTCGAGACAGTTATCTATCTAGCGCTAAAGCGCGTCGGGCGCAGCAACGCAATATGCCACAGTCTCATATTTCGATCGTTACGCGTGACGGTCACAATATGAGGCATCTTTTACTGTTGCTGATCAACTGTACTGAGGAACTAAGCTTCGTACAGCACTGTTGGCGTTGATGACACCCAGGTCAATGACCGCCACTTTAATGCTACGACACAATTTTAACTTGACAAGCGCAGACGACCCATGTATACAATTCGTGGCCTCGCCATCAAGTTCGGATGGACAGCAAGACTACCGGGACATGATGTTACTACATCTCGAACTCAATCAAGTTTTCGCTGGCGTGCTTCACGAAGGCAGCGTCAAGCGGGGCTATTGCAAGTAATTTACAGCCTTACCCGTCTCTGCGCAGCACGTATCAGGTGGCCCGTCTCCGCCGCGGCTGATGCGGCCAGAGCCAGAGCGATTGCGGTGGTGAACTCAATGTTGCTGTATTTCTATAGTACGTCGCCCACCCGCGTTTAACACCATGCTGCCGTAACAATCAACCGCATCAGCTTTAATTGATGCACGTTTCGATATTGACCGAGTATGCCACAGCTTAGGTGACTTGCTAGCTCGCCTGCGCGCAAATGGCGATAAAAAAGCCACGGCGTTGAAGTGCTCGACATTGGCAATCCAAGGTCGGGGTTTGCTTTCGTGTCGTCACTTGTGGCTATTCAGGTATACGGAAAATGCAACGTCTGCTGTCAGAAGTGCGACGTGATGGGCTGGTCCAATGGCATTTGTTACGAAGAGCAGCACTTAACGTCGAGTCGATCAAACGAGTTGATCTGCTCCCTCGCCTCAAGGGCTTCGCACCAAGCGTTAAGCTATGCAGAAGGGCTTTGCCGTAGCTGATCTTTTTGTTCCAACGCTGTAGTCACCCCGTGCTGGTCGGCAATCGGTACATGTTACCACAATTAAGTGCTTACAACGAAGCGGTACTACATGGAGTCTGTATAGTGGAGCTCACAGCCCAATGTTTCCCGCTGCTCGGATCGTGCAGATATCGTCGCAAGACATGTGAAGTGGCCAGAGTCGGGCCAATAACTCTGCAATCCGACGGCGCGCGTGAAACGCATCCCCCTCGAACTAGTCGCACCGACATGGTAACGCAATCCAGCCGCGGCGTATCCCGCGATCAAGCGGCTACATGTGGCAGCATTTTACAATTAAACACAAAGTCTGCCCAGTGCACGCGCCAAAGTGCGCTAAGTTGACGGCACTGCGGCTTGCATCTAGCACTACGAGACTACCGAAAAGTGTTTGTAGGTATGGAGCAGCACCGAGCCAGCGGATAAAGATAGGCGTACTGACTGCTGTCTGTCAGCGCAATGAGAATGACTGCAACATGCATCTTGGAGCGAGGTTCCGATATGTTTCTACATGATTCAGGTCATCATCAAAAGCGTTTATTATGGGTTTTATGAAGATGTATTCATATCTGTAAGCAAAAAGACCAATATAGAATTTCGTGGCGTGACATTTGTACGACTCGTTCCATTTGCATGCTGAATAAAAAGCACTTTTATGTGCATGTGAATGAATGTATGTATTAGCTGACATGAAATGTATAATATCGCTTGCTTAGTGTGTCCTCGCTCTGCACCCGCGGCAGAGTCAGGCGAAGTGTTCTATTTGCTGAAAGGTTGTAGATTCATGAGACGAGACATGAGAAAAAGGCTCATAGAGAGAGAACAGATTGTCTATTTACTGATTAGTGCAAGATCTCTGGTAGGTAGTTAACCACACTAGCAACGCTGGAGGGTCCAGGAATTGCCTACGGCTGGCAGCACGTCTATGAACGCCGGACTGCCCTCTCGGTTCTGATATAAATATGTCGTAACATGCAGATAGTTGGGCTCCACGGACGGCTGTGACCGCTCTGCAATGGAGACGTTTGATGAGCGCCCTCAGTTGGAGCTGAATCCTATTCCAGATCAAAGTTTCACTGGCTTGTATCGGAATAAGCGCATTGTTAAAAATCCTATCCACGCGAAGTTGCCAGAGCATTGTGATAATGACGGTCACTGCGACTTCCCAAATCGTCCTCCAGGCTGTGGCGAATAGATCAATGTCTTCCGGGTACCGGGCTAACAGCTTTGCTGTGACCTGCGGCGAGATGCGTGGTACGCTACAGTTTGCGCAGTGTTCGAGCCAATCCAGGAGGTGGGTAGGATGGTGAGGTGTACTCTCCCAATGACTGATAAGCCGGGCCCAGATTGCCTGAGCGCGGGGACATCCCCAAAAGAGATGCTCCTGGGTTTCCTTTTGGCCTACACATTCCAAATATGTGCATGATCCGTCCGGGGGTCGGTTTTGGTACCAAAAGTTTAGCTGTCCGGTAGCGTGTCGATATCGTGTCCATAGCTGGTATTCCGTTACCGCATGGCCGTGATCCCATAGCTGAGCCGGCGTGACATTTAAAGCTGTGCATTGCCACCGCGTATTCTGGCTCTTTGTGGCTAGCCGATCGATGACCTGCTTCAGCGGTGCTGCGAGACCGCGCTTTGTCGCCTGAAAAGCTTGTTTTTTCAAAAAAGTGAATAGTCGATGGTTGGGGACCGTAGGCGGTGCGGACCACGGATAGTGGTGGATCTGTGGGTTGGAAAAAAAGACAACCCCATGTCGGCTGAGCTTGCTCTCCGCTTGTTGGGTGAGCTCCTGCGATTTCCCTTTTACTAGCGGCGGAGCGCCGTCGAAAACCCAAGTTATGCCATCGTGGCATTGAGTGAGCTCCCAACTCTGAGGGCGATCAGATTCATCAGAGAGTGAAACGCCTCGAACCTTGCCTGGCCCGATCAGCACCCATGAGATGGCTTGCGTGAATGGTAGCTGTTGCCTTAGCCGCAATGGGCTTGGGCACCCTACCGGATTTCCCACGTCTAGTGGCGGCGACGAAAGTAAAATTATGATCGCCCATTCTCGAAGTTTCGCATGCGAATGGCGGGGGTCATGGACATCCGTGCCAATGCCGCTGAAGACGTATTCTTGGGGGCCTGTCCGCTGGATGTGGAGTTGTTCGAGGGATACATCACGAATTCTGTTATATTTAGATCGGGACAGCTCGAGCGCCTGCGGTGAGAGAATCCAAGGATTACCACTCCACTGAAAAGTCTGCCAAAAATCGTTTATCTCCTGAGGCCAAATCTCATCCCCTTGAGGCCGCCATGGAAGGGGCTCGGAGAGGTGCAAAATCCAGTCATTTTCCTCCCACCAACTGGTCGATGATGACCGAAGGTTCGGTAGATGTTCTTGTACTCGTGCTAGGATTACCGCCGTTTGCGCGATGTCTGGCCGTAATGTGCAGTTCGCAGTATTAACAACAATGACCCAGTCGTAAAGGTTTTTACAGAAGCTGCAGACGGGCGACGAAGCACAGATTCCAAGGCGCTGCAGTCGATAGTTCCAGGAACTAATGCGACAATCAGTGAGACTTGAAAGCAACCACTATTGTGGAAATCAATAGGAACGTCAATGGAACTGCAACAAATGATTGCAATGGGATGTCTCAATTCTTTTGTCAGTAGTAGGATGCACTTACGGATCAGACAGTGTACGCTCGAAGTGCAAGACAAGAATTTGCACAATAGTTGCTGGTTTAAGGCATCTTGATGATGACGGATGCTAGACACAATCGTTTCCGAGAGGTTGACGAAGCGTGACGACACGCAGCTCAAATTTGCATATCAGCTATTGCTGTATACGTCTGGAGTGCTGGAAGCGTGACTTTAATCAATAAACGTCACTCCTCATTCTGAAAGGGGCCGAGTTTACGGATCGTGGGGTACATCAGCAGTGCCAGATGACGACATAATGGCAAAGTGGCGGGAGGAGAAGCGTCAGGCTCAATAAGAGACGGAGCCACAAACTATCTTGGACACAAAGGAAATAAAGGGTGGGTATTCTGACAAACTCGTAACGTAGGATCTGGTGATGTTCCATGGTGTTCCTTATCTGTCCTCATTGCGATACAGTGTGGGCCTGTGAAGAAATTGACGAGGATTCGCTTCATATAATTTTAAATAACCTATATAATAAGCGCTTAATCTTAAGCGATAAAAAGTAGAAAACAATATGCCAGAGTAGAGGCTGCAAATTATCAATATGTATACAGCGTATACCATTAAAACAAACAATAAGCAATATGCCAGAACAGAGGCTGTAGCCATCAGCATGTATACGATTCCAAAGTAAGAAAGCAATATGCTAGAGTAGAGGCTGTATCCATTTCATTTTATCCCATTTCTGGCGCTCACTTTTAAAAAAAGTCCCGCCAAAACGTCAAAGAGTGATTGTCAAACTCTAACAGCATGGCCGAAGAAACTTCTGCACCCGCTGAGGCAGAGAATATTGCCGTATGTATTCGTATACGACCAATGAATGAGCGAGAGATACGATCGAATGACATTCACGCCTTGTGCTGTGTCCCGTCGCTTAAAATGGTGTCAATAACAGACCCAGTCACAGGCGCGCCTCTCTCTACCAAAGGAAACGTTTTCCAATACGATGAAATATTTGATACTACAAGTAATGCCTATTCTATGTACGACCGTGTTGGTCGTCGAATCGTACGGTCCACATTAAATGGAATCAATGGGACAATCTTTGCCTACGGCCAGACGAGTTCAGGGAAAACATTTACAATGCAAGGAGATGGTGGAATGCCTTTTGAAATGGAAGAAGCTACAAGTCGGTCTGGACTGTTACAGTTGGCCATTGAAGATATTTTCCAGTATATTGAGACATGTAAAGATCGAGATTTTCTGCTTCGCGTTTCCTTTTTAGAGATTTATAATGAAGTTGTCAAGGATCTTTTATCCCCCACCACCACCCTCAAACTTCGTGAAGATCCCAGAAAAGGGGTGTATGTGGACTGCAAGGAAGAAATTATTACAAATGCTGAAGATATTGTTACGTTATTACAAACAGGCAATCGAAACAGAACAGTCGGGCATACAGCTATGAACACAAAAAGTTCACGCTCGCACAGTGTGTTTCGAATTGTGATTGAGAGTAAAGAAAAGGCAGATTCCACACGAAGACTCTCGGAGGAAGATGTGAATGGTGCTGTACTAGTTGCAAGCTTGAATCTCGTGGATCTTGCAGGTTCGGAGAGTTTAAGACATACGGGAGCAGAAGGAATTCGACAACGAGAAGCTGGGAATATAAACAAATCACTCTTGACACTGGCACGTGTGATCAATTCGCTGGCTAGTTCAGGAGGAGGTGGACAGAATGCACCATTTCGAGACAGCAAACTCACCCGTTTGCTTCAAAATTCACTCGGTGGTAATACACGAACACTTATTATTTGCTGTGTAACCCCAAGTGACAAGTACATTGAGGAAACGAAAAGCACGTTGCAGTTTGCAGCCCGTGCCAAAGATATTCAGACATCAGCAATGGTAAATGAGGTACTAGATGATCAGACTCAACTGCGGCGTCTCAAGCGTGAGGTGCATGAGCTAAAAAAGCTCGTCAACTCTGAAGCTTTGAACGCTCTAAAAGCTGAGAACGAGGCACTGATCAGTGAAAAGAATCATAACAAGACGGAGATGGCACGACTTATGGGACTTATTCTCTCCAGCTCTTCAGTAACAAAAGCTAATACTGTGAGTAAGAAACGCAAGCGGCCGAAATGCATGAGGGAAACGTGGGGACCGGGCGATTTTCCTGCTGATATCAAGCCATTACGTGCATCGTCACCCAATTGCTATCCACGAAAGCGCCATTCTTCAACAAAAGAAAATTCGGATCCTCAGACTCTTTTTCGTGTTTACGAAGATGTCGATGACAATATAGCGAAGGAAGAGAACCCTGCATTCGCTTCAACAACCGACAAAGTTAAGCTGAAACCAACTGACGTGGATGATAGCAGCAAGAATGTAATTGATATATTTTCAGCAGTCTTTCGAAGCTACAATGATGAAAAGTGCGAGGATCCCATCGCTGCAGTGGAAGCAATCGTGAACGAGAAAAGGACGTCGCTTGGTAGTGACTTTGAGCATGCCGATGTGCTAGCGGAAATAAAAAGGTTGATGGTTACTAACCTGCAGGCGAAGAGTGCTATCGATGAAAAAATAGTACTGGAGCAGACGGTGAAAGATCTGCGTCTACAGCTGAACGAAGGGAGTGCTGAACGCGATTGCTCCAAAATTGCCTCGAAAGCCGATAGTTTCGCTGAAGAAGTGATGGCCGAATTGGTTTCCACACAAGAGTCCTTGGCAAAGGAAAAAAAGCGCTGTCACGACTTGGAGACGGAAAAAGCTAACTCTCAGCAAATGGCAGCAGAAGAATTGAACGCTCTTCGCTGTCAGCTGGAAACATTGAAACTCGATTCCACTACGCTGCAACAACGATACAGCCGCGAAAAAGACGAGCTTATAGCCACTGTCGAGACGCTTCAGTCGAGGCTTCCGCTGCCCAATATAGGAAACAAAGCTTCATCACCAGAACACGAGAAGAAGTTACAAGAGGAAGCGCCTAGCACAGACGAAACGAAGAATGCTGTTGTGGACAAACTTGCACAAGAACTACAAAACATCATGCAGGAGCTTGCCTTGCTGCAGTCCGATCACGAGCGAACGGCTTTAGAGAAGGAAGAGCTGCAAGCAGAGACAGAGAGAATGACGATGGAGTTTGAGGTCTCGCAGCGCCAATGTTTTGAAATGAGTGAAACGTTAATGGAGAAGGAGCATATTGCAAAGGTCCTGCAGGCACAGCTAGATGCGAAGCTCGTGACGATTTCACAGATGCAGACAAAGCACAGTGATGAAGTTAAATCACTACAACAGAGCATCCAGGAACTTGCGACTGAAAAAGAACAGCTTCTTACTAGAATCCTGGAGGTTGGTGCCGCAGAAAACACTGCTACAGATGAAACAGATCCCGCAAAGCCGGCAATCGAATGCATCGATAACGCTAATGAATGTTCCTTGGCGGCGAATAAAACTCAAAAACTACGCTCAGCAGTGAAGCAAATGATCGAAAAGCTTGCTGCTGTCGAGTCAGAGCTTGCAGATGCGAAGACAACTTTACGCTCGACAGAGCATTCTTCTGAGCCAAATGAGCTTATGATTGCATTAGACCAACTGAAACTTGTTCTTGACAACATACAGCAGGCAGGCAATTCTCTCTTGACCGATTTTGTGGAACAACAAGAGCAAATAGTAAAGGTGTCTTCACCTGATGATCCGAATACCGACTTACTGGATTGCTCTGAGCAGCGTTATAACGCACTGAAGGAAGACTTCGAGAGGGTTACAGAAGAGCTGGAGCATGTGTCGCATGAGCGCAACGACTGCATGGAGGAGCTTCGGGCCTTGGAGGCCCAATTGATGCAAGTATCCGAAGAGAAAATGAAGTGTGCGATCGCCGCCGACGAACAGGAATACAAGCTCCGTGAAGCGCAGCAAGTGGTCTTGTCTACCTCGGCGACGATCACAACTTTGCAGGCACAGCTGGAAGACACTCAATCAACTAAAGCGACTTTGGAAGCTAGCAAGGCAGAGCTTGAACAAAACATGAAAAATCTTCAGACCGCTTGGACAACTTTGCAAGCAGACCACGCCGCGATTGTGGAGCAAATTCAACACGGTAACACAGGACTCAAGTCTGAAAACGAAAGCAGTGCCACTGAGCCGGAGCATCTACAGCAGCGTCTTGAGTATGAATCCAAACAGCGTGAAAAGCTTCAACTTGACGTGCAGTCATACGAAGAAACGTTGTCTGTCTTACGCAAGGAGGCAAAAGATAACTCTGACACGATTGCTGATCTTTCGGAGAAAATCAGGATACTGGAATCGGACCTCGATTCGGCTGCTTCTACTCAACAGCAAAAAGACAAAGAGTATGCGACCTTGAGGAATGCCCTGACGATGTCGGAGGAGGAGAAACAGGAGATGCGTCTTCAGAGTAAGCAACGTCTTGTTGCAGCCGAAGGGAAAGAAATGGCGCTTCAAGATAGGATATCGGCGTTGGAGCTTCAGCTAAAGATGTCTTCGACTGGTGTGGATATGGCACATGCACCGCTACAGAATGACGTAGAATCAGAACTCATAGAGGCAAGGGCGAAACAAGCCGAGCTTCAATCCAAGGCAACAGCGCTGGAGAACCATTTATCAGAAGCACGACAAGAGCTGCTCAAACAGGATGACGAATGGAAGAAGAAAGAAGCGTTGGCAAAGACGGAGCTTGCTCGTTTGACGACGGAGCTGACACAACGTCGTGATGAAGTGTTGACTCTTAAAACTAGCATTGGAGCGTCGCAGCACGCTTTGGAGGTGCAAGCCGAAGAACTGCTGAAGGCACAAGGATCCTGCACAGAACTATTGGAGCAAAAGGAAGTGGTGCGACGAAAACTCGAAGCAGCAGAAGCTACGTGGGAAGGGAAGCAACAAGAATTGATGCGTCAGTTGGACAGCATTCGTGAACAGTTTCAAGAAGCACAAGCAGAGCTCAAAGGGCACCAGAAGAACGCAGAGGATGAGATTCACCGACTTTGTTCTGTTATCGAGAAGAAGGATGCTGAAATCGGTAAACTCAAGCGCGGTGCCGAAGCAAAAGAGGAGGACTGGAAAGTCCGAATCAAAGAGCAGGAGAAGTGGCAAAAGCAGATTAATAGCCGACAAGAAATGCTGCAAGCGGAATACAATGAGCTTGACATTGAGCGTCAACTGTTGAAGGAGAAGTGTGCTGCCGTTGAGACTCAGCGTATAGAGATTGAGGAGCAGCTTCGAAACGAAACTAATGAGCTACAACAGAAAGTTGCCGCTGCACAGGCGCAACAAGCTAATTACCAAGGTAAGCTGAAGGAGATAGAAGCTCAGTTGGAGGTGACCGAGAACGAAGTGACTCGAAACCGTCATGAGTTGAAGAGCCTTGCGGAATCGCTCAAGTCTGCACAGATGGAGGCTGTAAACAACCACAATAAGCAAGTGGAAGCCCAGCTTGCAAAGGAAAGCATGGAAAAGCTTGTCGAGAGACAGAAAGCACGTATCGATAAACTGGATAAGGTCAAAATGACGACAGAGACGCTGGAGCTGTTCCGCAAGCTGAAAAAAGCCCGATCCGACTTGCAGGTCAAGGTGCAGGACCTGCAAAAAGACTTGGCTCAGGCTTTGTCACGAAGCCGAGGAGACCAGCTGGAAAATGAACACTTGATAGTGAAACGTAAGGAAGAGGAACTGAAGTTGTTAAAGGAGCAAGTTGGAGAGCTTCGCAAAGCCATTCGCCAAGCACGAGATGACAAGGCGACGATGCGAGTGGCGCTAAACGATGAGCGCGAGAAAGCTGAGCACGAGATCCAGGAAATGCAAACGTTAGTGAAGGAAAAGATGGAGCTTGTCGAAAACCTAGAGTCGCAGTTGGCGTCAGTCGAGGATGCAATGGCGAAGCTCCAAGAGGAGAAGAGCGAAAATGTGTCGTACTTTGAGAAGGAAAACCTTGAGCTCCATGTGGAAAACAGGGAGCTAAAGAAGCAGTTGGCGTTGACCTCGCTACCTAAGAAGGATGAAGGGATGGGAGACACGGGCACCTACGACGTTTCTGCCGCCGCGGCAGTAGAAGTACTTGGTGAAGACAGATTCAGATTCAACAAAGAATCCAAGGTGGATGTAGTTGACTGTGCCGCTACGACTGAAACGTCAGCTCGACCGCAGGAAGCACGTGTTACCAAAGCAGGCGGTTTCTTGCTCTCAACAACCGAAATGGACGCGACTGCTGCATCCAGCCAGGATGAACCAAAAGAAGGAGAACAACCCGAGTGCTCACAGCAGTAAAGCAGACGATATCCAATGTGTTGACTTGTATGTAGTTAATGATTTTCTTCAAAGTACATAGTGAAGTCCCATTAGCACTGCACACCTCGATAACAAGTTCATATGCACAAAATTCTATTTCGATTCCTCTCAGCTTGTTCAAGTCTAGCAAACACCGCCTCAGCCGATCCAAAAAGTCATGTTCTTGGTGGGTATTTACCAATCAACTTCTCCATCCGCCGTCTCCTGCTCCTGTTCGTACTCAATCTCAACATACGGTCCCTTGACTTTCTTCTTCTTCTTGTTGTTTTCCTTCTTTAAACTCGTAATCGTCTTCCGTTTTTTAGTCTTGGACAAAACTTCTTCTTCACTATCGGACGCATTGCTCTCTCCATCATCATTTACAGCAAAATCATCTCCCAAATCCTCAAGATCACTCTCCTCGTCATCAAAATCTTCAACGTACTCCACTTGTCCAACCTCCTCGTCTTCCTCCTCCTCTTCTTCTTCTTCTTCTTCTTCTTCTCCATCAAGTTCATACTCAATTTCATCGTCACTTTCTTCCTCAATTGTCTGACGTTTTCCATTACTTTCAAGCACATTGGAAAATTCACGTTCCGGGAAATTATAAATATCACCATACGTTCCTTTCTGAAGACGTTCCAATAATTCTTTTTCAATGGAATTATCAAGTTTTGCCGCAACCATGGCTTTTTTCTCGCGCCGTTTTTCACGTCGATCAATTTTCTTGTTAATCACGACAAGTTTTGGTTTGGTCTTGAGAAGGAGTTTTCGCATGCGCATCAGATATTGATGAATTTTTGTCAGTCTTTGTTTGTTTTTGTGTACAAGTTTTTTAGGCCAAAATTCAAGGTGCGCGTCAATTTGAGCCAATGATTTCGTGTAATTTTTACTGAGTTTCACACGTTCCCAGAGTCGATTTGGTGTATGTGCACGTTCAATTGTCTTCATATAGAGAAAACAAACCCCATTTTCTTCCCGAATAGTCGCATACCGACTATTGGCCAATGGACATGCAGTTTTATTGCATAAACCCGTAACATTGTACAAGTTACTACAAAACATCTTACCAGTACCTGGTAATCTAAAGCAACAAATGTAATTAAAAGTGTTAGTTAATCTCTATATATATCAGATTATATAGTAAATATGGAACAAAGTACGGCTGTTATTTGGGTTCTTTTTTTATATTACGTACTTGCTCTTGAAGGAACAAAATTGCTTGGAGATGACACCCCAAATTACTTCATCGTGTTGCATTGTGAAGTAGACGAGCAACTTTACAATTGAGACTTGCGGGAGTCCAAGTCACAATTGCTGGCAACCAGTAAAATATAAGGTCGATAGTGATTGGATGAAACAGATGATTATGATAGGTTTTGACCAATCATTGGACGTAGCTTTACTAGCAATCGTATAATAACGTTCAACTCTATTTTAAAGCTTGACGGTACTTTCACGAACATGCATGTATTTATTAGAGAATGGTCGCTACATTGCAGAGCTAAATCTTCCGTTCGACTGTATGCAATTGATCCATCGTCGTTTTTCCTTCTGTAAGCCATTTCCTGCTGTTTTCAGCTGTTTTTTCTTTGTATTAGATCTGTTTCTCGGTCGATGATGCATCCAGTTTGCACAGAAACTTAATGTCTTCGGTCATGCCGGTAAAATCCAACTTGGGGCTGTAGCGTTTATATGGCGTGCCATCGGGGCTAATGAGAAACTGTATGAAGCAATCATATACAAACACTCATTCAGCAACAGATAGATCGATACTAAAATACACCGTAATCGTACCTTTTCAAAGTTCCAGCTCACGTCTGCGCGCGTGACGGGCATCCAAATAAGTCGCATTGGATGCGAAAAGACGCCACTGGGAGTGGACATTTCATCCAGTAGTGTACGATCACACGGAAATGGCAGTGCAATTTTCAAAAAATTAAACAGTGCGTGCGCATTGGCACCATTGACTTCCACCTTCTCCGTGAGCTTGAAAACTGGTTCAAAGCCTTTACCGGGGCGAACGTATCTCAAACTCTGGTAGATTTCCTCTCCATTGAGATTCTCCTGATGACCAAATTGGTTACAAGGACAACCAATGACCACGAGATCCGGAAAGCGCTTGGCCAATTCATTCAGCTGTAAGTACGCTTTCGTGGTCGAGTTACAATGTGACGCCACGTTTACAATGAGAATTGGTTTGCCTGCATAATCAGCAAGACGAAGAAAAGTCGATCCCGTCAGTGAACGAAATGAGAAATTGTGTGCTGTTTTTCGACGAGACGCGGAGCCAGCGCCGCGTATGGAGTCAGGACTCGAGGCAGACGACGAGGCGATCCCCGTCATTGGCACAGCTACTGCTACAGGTAAATTATGATACTGCTGACTCGCTGATGCTGAAAGAAAGACGCTATTCGTACAGCTTTCGGCTTCCTGTGTACCATTGCCATTAGTATTCGAGCCGTCTGTGTTCGTAGTCGCACATCCGGAACCACTTGGTAGTTTCTTCATGAGTGATTCCTTGGTACGAGGATTTTTAACAAATGAGCTACTCGTCGCCCTTTTGTAAATATATTGAGTATAGAGTATAGAAGATAAAGTAATGATGAGGCTATATGGTAGGCATTTATAAATAAAGCTATTTCAGGCCGTCATTCGTATGCTTATTGAAAGGTTCAATCGACTCGTCTACCTCTCTCTCTCTAATAGGATGGGATGAAGCAGTGATCAACATTCAGACGACGTGTTTCTCAGCATAGACAATGTTGCTTGACGGTTGCCTTTTTCTTCTTAAGTACGAATAGTGGGGTATAATATTCGACTGTTGTGTGTGCCAATGAATCTTGTTCCCATATGGTTTATTATATCAGTCTGTCTATTGGAATCGAATGAGGTTGAGAGGCAAAAACAAGTGACTTGAGTGCAAGGACTGTCTATATCCGAGTTTAGTCGAGTAGAGTTGTCAGTGATAACGGTTCAAACAAACCACGTCCGGTGACACTAGCAAGCAGCTGCTAACGGTATACGAATACCATGGGACCATGTGCAGCAATCAGTTGCATTCTTTTTCATACTATCGCTACATGACAGACACCTCTACCACAATCCGCGACCGTTTAAAAAAGACGTCGAAGTCTGTAAGGTAATGAAAGTGATAGAAGGACAAGGCATTTTTTTGCAGGTCCAGCACGCACGCACGCACGCAGCACATCCAATCCAAATAGCTCCATAATGTTACAGCAACGTGATGCTAATACTTTGTAGCTAGTAATAATAATAATCAGAGATGCGAAATGCATTCCCGTAGTTGATTGTAACCCGCCACGTACGTCTTCGATACCGTCAGTGACTGGACAAATCATTCTCTTTGCTTTTTTCCATTAAAAGTTCACGCATCGCTATACCAGGACAGGTGATCGGTGGTGCGAGTACATCTGTTTACCCCAACTGATCAGGATCGATGCCCTAATCTTTGCTTTCTGATTGGCCAGTAATATCCGTCCATGGGACTGCCAATCCCGAACATCTCCGAACCTGAAACGAACTTATTCTTTCGAGTGAATGTCGCACGTACACAAAAGTCCTTGGCATTCTCCTATTCGCCGTATAAGTTCGACAGCTCCCCCTCTCTTATTAGTAGTTATACAAACAAACCACATACAAAAAAACACAGTGTAAAAAACCCAATCATGCCGCCCAGTTTAATGGTCTCGCCGCCTCCAAACGATACGTCCACGTCCATTGCCGCTTGTATTAAACCACCACAAGTGCCTTGTCCTTCGACGACTGCTACAAGAAACTCTATACAAACAACACGTGGACGTACACAGAGTCTTCCAACGACAGGCGAGCAACATGGGTATCAAGAGACTTTATGGATGCAACAGGCTGTTGATCGTGGACTTTTTCGTCGTTTTGAAGCCGTGAGTAAAGAAATTACAAGACTTTTACGGATACAGAACTTGGAGCCGCTTCATGAGACAAGTACGGACATTGTAGCGCCTCATTCTGAGCTTGTTCAAGTCCAAACCGAACTTACTCGAGCACGAAGACGTTCGATACGTCTTCGTGAAGATCAGAAACATATGATTCAACAATTTGAAGCGCAACAGGATCGTGGACTTGTGAGAAAATATTTGGCGTTTGCTACTGGATCTTCTCGTCATGAAAAGAAAAAGACGGAAGAATTAAAGAAGAAATTGGGACATCATATGGCTGAAGCTGTACGAACGGATGCAGAATTGCAACAATTGGAGCGACGATCGAGTTCTCTAGTGAGTGAATGGAAACGGCGGTCTTCTTTTTCTATGAGGTCTGCAAGTGGACAAAGTTTTTCGATTCAATTAGAAGGAGAAGATGATATGGAACATGGTGACAATTTGATAGAGGAAGATGTTGTGGATGATGACGAGGACTTGGATGTAGCTGAACGACTTGAACGACTTGAGAGAGAGAAACAGAAAATGCTCAGTCTTTTATTAAGAACGTTGCGGCTTCCAGATGCTCTTGTGATGCACACGAACGTAGCCATGTATGCCTCTGAAGCACAAGCTTGTGAATCGATTAAGAAACAGATTGATCGTGCTACTGGACTGTACCACCAGGCACTGCAGCTGCTACGCATGGCAATGGCTACTGTTGTCTCGTCGCAGTATTCGGGGTCCGCGAGGGAATTTGCCAGCGGTCCCTTTGCACTCACAGTCGAGGCTGGTCAGCTCATGGAGGCGGCCGCTATTGGTATCCAGCCGGAGGCTCGCCGTCGATACCGACAGTTTGCCCAAGAGATGCAGAATTTGCGTCTCCCCAAGTTCCCCCAGATCGTGAGCGAGTTTGTACGTCGTGGGCGAACCAACTTTGACCCACGCAGTGCAATGGCGCAGGAGGCTATGAGGAGATTTCCGGCGTGCGAAACCACCATGGTGATGACGCACAAGCTTGCGATTGAGAAACTAGATTTGCTTGATCGATGGAAACGCACGGTTGAAAAGGACCAGACTTATGCGCTCGATTCGCAACGTCGTCTTGAGACGCACCTGCAGCAGCGTCTCGCCGTACTTGCTCGATTCGTGTCGGTATGAAGCCTAGCGCAGTAAAGTACCCTCTCAACCACGACACTTGGCAGCACGCTGCGTTGTTTAAGGCCGGGGAGGGGATCAGCTTCCCCCATTCCTAGTACATTGCTTATAGTGTATGAGTACAGGCAACAAGAGATGTAAAATGCAGACAAGTCTCACATGTTTGGACGTTTCAAGAAGACCCAAGCTTTTATGAATCCATGTCAGCGATGGTCCTGGTACAACAAAGTACTGAGTATGACGTGTTAGTGGATGTGAGACAGCCAAGAAACTTGGCCCAAGTCGCATGTAAACTCTCCATAAACGACTAATCTGCTTGCATATATGTATACCATGCCATCATTCTCTCTCCATCTACATTTGCTTTGTTCATCACTGACTCCAGTCTCCCATATTCACATCGTTATTGTCAGACTGCTCCATGCCAGGGTGCTGCATGTTGTCACTAAGACCACGGTATGGCCGACCAATGGTAAAGTCTTGGTTCCCTATGGACGGCCGCGGTTGGTCTAGCTGTTGCTGCTGTAGCTCATTTGTGAACATGTGATGGTCTGAGAGCTGACGCTGCTGCCCAGACAGGTTGTGCAAACCAAACACGGTTTGCTGGTGCAACTGCCCTGCGTGGCCATCATCTCCATAAAAGCTCGTCCGTGGTGCTGTTGGCGCTGGCTGTGAGGCAGCGCTGCGTGATACTTCATTGGATATCATGTAGGGGGGGCCTGCACGCAGACCGCCTGATCCGCTTCCCCCAAAAAGGCTCGAGTCCTGATGCCGCACAATATCGTGCATATCCATTCCCATCTGAGCCGCCTGCTGTGCGTAAACGTCTTGCTGACCTGTTCCCATGCCAGAAGACATGAGCATTCCCTTGGACATGTCACCGTACAGAGGGTGTTGTAACTGGCGAGAGTGCTGTTGCTGCTGAAGTGCTGCCTGCTGTTGCTGGAATTGTTGTTGCTGCTGCTGGCTAAGCATTTGCAGGTGCGACGAACCGGGAGGTATCACTTGTGGGAGACTCGGCGGTTTGCTGTGTTGAAATTGACGTTCTTGCTCTTGACGCTGACACTGAAGTTCTAATTCTAGTCGCTGCTGCTCTTGCTGTCGCCGCTGATTCTCTTTACGCTGTTGTTCCTGTTGATGCTGTTCTCCGTGGCGCTGCTGTTCGAGTCGTTTCTTCTGATGCTCCAAACGTTGCTGTTCCGCGCGTTGCCGTTTTTCGAGACGTTGCTGTTCCAGACGTTGCTGTTCCAGACGCTGTTGCTCACGAAGTTGCTCCTCTAGGCGCTGCTGTTCCTCGACATGTTGTTGTTCAATGAGTTGTCCTTCATACCGCTCGTGTTCAAGTCGCTCCTGCTCTCGACGCTGTTGCTCCCGGCGCTCTTGCTCCTGACGCTGTTTCTTAATATGCTGCCGTTCAAGACGTTGCTGCTTCTCCAAGCGCTTTCTCTCGAAACGCGCCCTTTCTTGACGCTCCCGCTCGTGACGATCCCACCCTTGACGTTCTCGCTCGTGGTGCTGTGATTCTAGATGTTGGTGCTCCAGTAGATGTTGCTGCTCCAACTGTAGCTGCCTTTCCAATTGATGGCTGTGCTCTTCCAGCTGATTCTGCTGCTGCCCCAATTGGCGGTGTTGTTCGAGACGCGGCTGCTCTGGGCGCTGCTGCGGGTGCTGCTGCTTGTTCAAAGTCTCGAGGGCTTGATCCAAGAATGACTGGTGGTTTTGACCACTAGGTCTGGAAACGGGCTGATTTAATTGCTGTCCGACAGATTGTTGCGGTAAAGTATCCCGCCTGTCACTGCTTCCTCTTCCTCCACGAATCATAAATTGACCTGGGGATGTAAAGACACGCAACGCATTCGCTCCTAGCCTTTCAGTCATAAGCGATGAGTTAAGCAAGTCCACCCGGGAACCGCATCCACCAGAAATGTCGGGCATTACTGAAGACGTGATATCAGCAATCGCTCGAGATGCTTGCTCTAGATCTTCTTCACTGTCTTCATCATTTCCTGCTTGAGACTTGGTTTCAGCAGCATTATAGTTCGATTCATTTGCATCTAAGTCCTCGCTTCCAAGGAGCAACGAGATACCCTTCGTTTCACTACACAAAGTCGCATTGCTCGTCGCAACTGCAGCAGCAGAGTATGTATCTAAGCCCGAATTGCTGTCAAAAGCAGTGTAAGCTTTGTTCAAGCGGTGCTTTTTGGCCTTTAGCTCTTCCGCACTCGCCTCGACATCATCAATATTCTGACGATCGCGGATAGCATCTTCTTCTGCAGATGCCTTGGCTACAGCTTCCGCTTCCGCTTCCTCCTTCAACCGCATTTGTTCCTCCTCCTCTTCAGCCTTCAAGTCGCGACACTTTTGATACAGCATATCAGTCATTCTGACAATTTCCTCGCTTAAATGCTCTTCTCGAGCGATTTTTAAAATTTCAAAGAGTGTTTTGCGCATTTGCGCTCGCTCCTGACGAATGGAATTCAAATTCATCTGATAGTTTGCAATCTGGCGTTCAATAAGGCGTCTAGATGGAGGAATCTTCACCTTTGCGAACAATGCTGGAGTTGGTGGCAACCTCACAGAAGCGCCCGTTCGCTTTCGCTTTGTGCCAATCAATGACAGCGACTCATTTAAACTCGATGTCATCTCTGCGAAATGGCGCTCCATCTTTGTCCACTCGTTCACCGACCACGTGATATCACGCAGCTTCTCTAACAACACAGTCAATAGAAGCTGGTCACTACTCGTAGTCATGAGCTTCGTACTGTAGCGGTACGATGGTACGAATCGATCAGTAATGTTAGTAGATCGGATATAGCTGCGACGGTGGTTAATACTCTCGAGAAGCACCTCATTGTAGTAATTTTTCTGTTTGCACTTATCCAGGTCGCTGGAGTACTGATTAATCAAATCAACCACTTTGGTCATAGCCCTCGTTTCCACAGTTCGAGACTCTTCCAGTTCCATAATCTTAGTTTCTGCATCGCGCAGATGCATTTCGGTACGCTTGGCTAGTGCGCTCGTGGTACGTTCAAATTGGGACTGAGATGACAGGATTTGGTGGCGTAGATCAAAGATCTTAATGAGAGCGCCCACTTCAGAATTGTTGCAGGACGCAGTATCATCCTGCTCATCTTCCGCTTCGTCATCCTGCTCTTCATCTTCTTCTCTCTCTGGCTGAGTTGCCGCTAATATCTCACGTTTGCCACTTTCCACTAGCTGCACCAACTGCGTTTTCTCGAGGTGCACCAACATCGCACCCGTGGTATTAGCGATCACGTCAGCCCTAGCATTTTTAGACGACACCTCAGCGATGAGACTATTAATCAACACTAAGAACTTTTCTTCCGCCTGGTCAATAAACATTTGAGAAAAGATATCGTTAGACTTCCAGTCACGATTGTCATCACAATCGCACAATCACTTACGCTCGAGGTCTGCGTAGTCTTGGTAACAATCAATTGCTCGCGATCGATGATTTCGTCCACGGTGGTAACTTCCTTGCTTTTTACAGAAAATGTTTCACATTTCTTCGCACCTATCACGTCAGTAAGTGGACCCATGGTCTCCTGTTTACTCTCCTTTTCTTCCAAAGCATCGACTCTAGGGTCCTTCTGCTCTGTCGATACCTCCCTATTCGCTAGGTCATCTGCATCTCGCAACGCAAAAGCCTCGTTAGCCTTTTTCTCATAGGCAGCAAATGGTTCCGCCGTTAGCTCACTCGAACTGTCAGTCGTCGCAGATGCTCCATCGGTCATAGACTCCTCCATTTTCATCTCATATACAACACTAGGAGTACCTACTTTTACAGCTGCAGCGTCCTCTATATGTTCGTCTTCAGCAAAAAGATTCTCATTGTCCTCAACGCTACTGCAATCCTCCTCAATCGTCTCGGTAAAAGTTGCTGCCTCCTTTTCATTCACTTCCTGTTCCTTCGCCTTAATAGGCTCAGTAAAAGTTTCTGCCTCCTTTTCGTTCACTTCCTGTTCCTTCTCTTTAATACGCTCAGTAAAAGTTACTGCCTCCTTCTCGTTTGCTTTCTCTTTCTTTTCCTTCAGCTCTATAATTCTATCAACAAGAACACGACGGGTCTGCTGGAGAAAGTCGAGAATTCGGTTGGCTTGTCCCGTCAGACACTTTTCACAAAACCAGGGCGTCGGCGGGGCCGCCTCAAGTCCAAGACTCGCGCACTTCCAATGCGTCTTTCTGTGACAGGCGCTGCACTCAGCCACGTCCACCGTAGCTTCTTTCCGACACGCAGTGCACTTCTAGCATATGATCATCCTATCAGTCAGTGCGTCCCACTGGGTCCAAAAAGCCGAAAATAATTGGCAATTGACGTACCGGTACAGCTTCATATTTGGCCAAAGCAATAGCCGCTTGGCCTATACGTTCTTTGGCTGTGGGTGATGGTGTGGGCGCTTTTTTCTCTTTATGAGCAGACCGCACGTTCGTGCCGCGTTTCCGAATATTGAGTCGATCTTTAATATCCTTGAGACTTTCACCCGTTGTGGTCGAATACATGGATGACCAGCCAGCGTCAGTCTTGAGAGCTGCAGCAATTTAAAGAGTATATGAGATTATACTTGAGTCCAGAGTTTTGGGCTTGAAGGAGCATGAACGTACATGGATTTAGTGTACGTTTCATATGGAGAGCACAGGGTACTGGTGACGTGTATACTTGGTCCTTGAACTGGATAGAACCGTCAGCTAATAGGTCTGCGTATACACGCTTCCGGTAATAGGACACGTATAGTTTCTTGGAGCCTACGTATACAACATTCAAATTAGTATACACTAGTGATGTATACTACACAATACCATCCAAAAACAGTACAAACCAGGTGTCAGCAGTTTCTCGTCAATGAGTGTCATCAATACAATGCGTGCGTCTCCCTATACGTATAGTATACACGACATTATAATTAAACCAAAAGTTTTATTGATAACTTGAAAAAGCACTTTATTCAATAAGAAAAAGACGAACCATGATGAAGGATATAACACGATCGTTTGATGAAAGGGGTCGCAGGAAGTCGACGCAAAGCCGGCTTAATCAAGACTGTGGTCTCTTATTACGGACCGACCAGCGGCTCGGGCTTTTCAAGTGTGTATACACGATATTTTTGTACCTGTGTATGACCTTTTTGCGACTTTATTTACAATTGTTTTTATTTACAATAATATTTCTTTGTAACAAAAGTCTTACACGTAATTCTTTTTTATACATAATAAATAAATATAAACTCCAGCATTAATATCCTGCAAGAGTTTTACCCTATTCGCCTTGCCTTTGTCTGATACTGTCTTATCTGATATTTGGCGTAGCATATAGTTTCCGAGGGTATCATATAAGGCAAGTTCTTTTGCCTGGATGTTTCTGAAAAGTATCACAATAGTTTGCTAGTCATTTCTAAATTGAATTGCTAAATGAAGGTAAAGTTGATGTCGATGGAAGGTAAGACTATCGAAATGGAGGCTGAAGTAGCAGCATTAAGTCGATTCGTGCAGACGTTAATGTCGGATGAGCAGGAGGACGTAGACGAGGTGCTGGGGATTCCACTGCCTAATGTAAAGGCATCTACTTTGGCCAAAGTAGTGAAGTTTTGCCAGCATTACAAGGACGATCCGATGAATGACATGCAAATGCCAATATGGAGTGTTTTGGTCTGAGTTATTTAGTAGGGGAGTGACAATGGATCAACTTGCTAGTTGTATCAACTCAGTTTATGAGTTTTTCATCTGCAACGTCGACAAATGTCACTAGAACTTGTTGCCACTGCCGGTGCTGAGCAATGTGATCAGTTTGCTCATGTATTTCTAGTCATCTGAGCTTGTCATCTTGTTCTTTTCGAGACCAATCTGTGAGCTCGAAACGGCGCTTCGTGGTGACAATGCCTATGTTGTCAAATTCCGAGGAAAGCTCGTCGAGAAGTGGATGTTGCCTTCACGCTTGGTCTCCAGCCCAGTCCTCTGCCCGATAAGCTCGTGCGCCTAGGACAAATGGTGCGTCATCATTTAGGCGCTCATGCACGTACCTGCGCATCATCGCCATCTTTTTAGTGCACTCCTCATTTCCCGTTATCCTTTGAAAACACAAACCTCGTGGCGTAAATGAGTGAAGAATGTTGCGGCTGGTACGACCGAGCATACAACCAGGGACCTTCAGATCTTCCTTCTGATGCTCTCAACTTGAATGTGGTGTCACATGCTGATTCAAAAGCCAACTTTGTCAACAAAACGTGCCCATTGCTACGTACTTTAAGCAAATTACCCAAGAGCCCAGACAATTAGCCGGCTTTGGTCACAGCCACTAACTAATAACCACTTTGCATCACCACAAGTAGCTGCTCCTGTAGCCGCTGCTTGATGGCGGAATAAAACCGCAGATCAGCTTCCAAAGACTGCTTGTAATTTTCACTGACGGTCATCTCAACACTTGCTAGCCCACGATGACACCGATCGATGTTTTCGTTCACTTTTCGTAGACGACTCTCGAGGATGTCCCACTCATCGGGAGGCAACATCACGTCCGTTGGTCGCGGAGCAAGAGCTGTCGAGATCGTTGTTGTCGTGTGCACCCGCTTGCCCGAGTGCGGTACAATGTCGCTCACGCTTGGAACCTCAACAATTGCTGTGTTTTCTACTTCACGTGGCCGTTTTCCGAGTGACGACATCTTTCCATCCGCGGGTTTGTCACCGACAGAAGACTTGTTTTGGGAAGGCTTGTTAGCAGCTACAGCTTTTGGCTGAGACGCCGTCGGTTTCGGCCTTGACGGCGAAACCTTTGCCTTCGCATCTTTCGCCAATTCTGCAACCCCTGCACCGTTTCGTGCCTTCCCTTGGCCAATTGTTTGCTGAGGTTTTGTTGGGGCAGCCGGCGTATGAGGAAGTACAAATTGTTTTGTCTGCTTTGCTTTCATTCCTGTCGTGCTAGCTTTGGCTATAGCCAGCTGCGGCAGCTTTGCGGCAACTGCTGGAGCATTGGAGCCTGCGACTGTCTGAACTTCTTCCATCTCCGGATTTTGTGTTGGTACTCTAGATGATTTCGAGTGAGTGGCTGCTGTTGCTGCTGCAGCAACTGCATTGCTGGGAGCAGTAGAAATAGTAGCAGCAATAACAGGAGTAATTGTAGCAGTAGCAGCATGAGTAGACGCGCAAGTAGGCACAGACTTCACATTTACCTTTCCAGGCAGTGGTTTTTCTGCTGAATGTGCTAGGTCCTTGATAGCTTCTTCTGGTTTGCCATTCTTAGTAGCGAGTGCTGTAGTTACTGGTGTCTTGGTCTTTCTTTTTCCGAAAGGTTCCGAGATCGGAATTTTGTCCGATAAGATGAACTTGTACAGCTTGGGCTCGAGCAGCATAGCCATATGCAGATACAGGAGGTCCAGTCTACCGGCACAAAAGTCAAAAAATGAGTGTGTGTTTTTGTTTTGTGTCGCTGCTTCCTTCGCCTGTGCCACGGCATTGCGGTACATAGCGACAATCTCGACCCACATCTGCAGTAGACGTGAGGCCGAGTGGGGGAGGATCACATTGGGTGTGACATTTACAAAGAGTGCATCATGAAAGTGCATTGCATCCAGCATTGAATTTTGTGTCATGAAGGCTGCGTGGACATCACGCCATAGTTGATTCACCTCCAATTTACCTGCCATGGCACCCCAACGATCATTAAAGTCCGGACTTAGGAGCACATTGATAAGACGAAAACGACAGCCACGACGAGCTCGAATGATTCTTGTAGAGCTCATAACTGCACCGGAATTCATCGTCCGTCTCGTCGACATTGGAGTCCGAGTCAGATTCGTTCGGATCGTCGTCGGATTTTTTTATCCCAGTCCCGTAGCAGCTTAATGAAACTCACACGGTTTGTCAGACGACGAGGAAGACGAATGTGACGCACCGATAGTTCGTGACGCAAATCTGCGTACAGATAATTCTCGTACGGCTCGTGCAACTCGGGCGACGACACCTTTGGCGGCATAAATGATCGAAATGGCGCCAAGCACGATGGTGTGGCAGGCACGAAATTAAAACAGACATTTGAGCACATGAAACATATGATTGTGTAGTGTCACACAACCAAGTAAAACCGATGTATATGTGTTTAAGAAAGTGCATGCCACCGACACATCGGAACAATACAAATTTGTAGACCATGTAGCCATTTCGAATGGAGATTCGGCCTTATGGGTATAGCGTTCAGGTTTTTACTCCGTGGTGAAGCCTGACCTTGACCTATACACATGTACATGTAGATGTCGACATTTTTGCTGGCCAAACCCGCTTCATGCAGCAAAATTTGTTATTCAACACAGCCAATCCATAAACCTGACTTTGCTCTCTGCGCTTTCGCTGAGAACCAGCCACTTGCTGGCAGACAGGGCCACTCCTACATCTCTCGACTGATCGTATAGCAGGCAATGTGCAAAAATGCTGTATCGGTAAAAATTATGCTGCAGATCGCGAATCTGTTCGCAGCAGAGACAACCAGTTGTGCCGTCTACAGCTTCCTGATCTGGCGCGAAGCCATTTCTAACCAAACGGGCTGGTGTTGTTAACTACATTCTGTACCATCAGATCCAGGTTTGCGCAAAGTGAGTGAGATCGCACCGAATTTTAACAAACCTTGTCGAGTTGAGAAACAAGTTGAAGACTTGAGGTGTAGAGTACTCATCAGCTTTGAGGCCGCAGACATTTGTACGTTAGGGCAACGCGGAGGCGGTGGAGAACTTGCCACTCGACCACTTCACAGACCGACCAGTGGTCCGACCAAGTAATTCCAATCATGCAATCGGTATTGTGTGACCTTGTACCAACTTATATGTATTTGTAACGATATGCCGTTCTTCTCTGGCTGTCAACCGAGCTGCGGGAATGCTCTCTACATCTTGCTTAGAAATGAGTTTGAAATCTCGATAAGCATTGAATTGACGAACTTTGTAAGCTAGTGGACGAATTTTGCAACGTTAGCCGCAGCTTTTACCGGGACAGATGGTCATTTGTAAGGCAAGTGAGAGCCAGATGGCTGGCCGACGCGTTGTGTGTGGTGCTCAGATTCACTTGACACGCTCGCCAGGATACCGTCTCAAGAGTATCGACTCTACGACAATTTTTCACGCGAGATATGTGGTGCGACCCGTATACTAGAGCATACTATGGCTTAGTCAAAATGCAAGGACGGAAAAAGGCGTAAAGAGTGTAATTTTTGGCTTGACAGCGACGGCACACGTCAAATAATGCGGATGCTCTAGTGCTCAGCAACAGATGACTGACTATCGTCCATAAAAATCGATAAACACTCCATTTATTGCTGTAGATGACATGAGAATTCGTTCTTGACAAAGCACGGCATCCAGCATTTCTTTGGACGGGCGGACCCTACTGGATTTCGTATAGCAAGTGACTAAACAATCGTAGTTTTCACCTGGGGAATCCACTCATGGACTGTAATTGTGCACTATACACGTAGATTTGTCTACACGCTGTCGATTGTTCGTTAACGTATCACAATCGCAAGAAATTTCGAAAAAAATTACCGTACAATATTTCCATTTAAAAAGCCGTCCAGGGTGCTTCAACGTTACAGAAAAATGTGGCTCAAATGTCGCTTTGGCAGCTAGAACTCATTTTCCAATTGGATTCCATTTGGCCAATTGATGTTTCCTGAAAAGATGGCGGTGCTTGTAAAGAACTCGTGGAAGCACCATCAGACGGCTATGACGACGTCTGATGATGACGTCTTGGCTCATGACAACGATTCACAGATGCAAGAGGTTCGAGCTTGGAATTACAAGCTTTGCCACAGCGAACACGCCAGGAACTCCAAGTTAAAGGACGCAGCACGCTCGTCCACGATACGATTGCCCGCAAACAAGCCGATGGTAGTTGAAACGAGCAGTAAAAAGCATCGCTTTTCACTACGGCGTCTTTTCAAGCACGAAAGCCACCGCCAAGACAAGAAGAATGTGGTCATTGTGCCTTCAGTGCCCATTCCAATCGACTTTCTGACTCGAGAAAGACACGGCGCCATGACAGTAAGTGGCAAACGCGTGCCCTTTACGTTTGACGCCCACAAACGTAGGAGGAAAACGACAAAACCTTTGCCGTGTATCAAAGAAGACCATGCCCTCTCGCCCGTCAGCTCGTCTCAGGAGGCCTATCGTCGTCGTGCGTATTACTCTGCCAAAAAGGAGAAGGCCAAGAAGTGACTTGACACTGTACCGTCCGGTCTACACAGTGGTATCAGGTAAGCAAACTGTGCTCTTACCCTTCGTTCAGTTCATGAGCAAACCCTTTTGAGACACAAGTCGTCTCTCGTCATTTTTAGTCTTTGGATTAGAATTTGCGCTATTTATTAGTCTCGAACTAACATTTAAATACAAATAAACAATCAACATTACGTCCTCCTTATGAGAAAGCACCGATCAACATTATCGCTCTTGATTCCGTCCATTCCGATTCCGACCGGTGCTGCATGTCAGGAATCAGTCAGCTGGACCGTCTGGAAATGTGGTACCCGGCCTCACTTTCAAGGCGCCACGTGCCCCCTGCATATGCTCGGGTTTGGTCAAAAGATCCCACGTGTCCTTTTGGAGTGTCCTCCGTGAAACCCGTCGGGTTGTGTTAGCAGAAGAAGCTAGATCGACGTAGTCATGGCAGAAGATCAGGATAGATCCATTTCTATACATATCTTAGATAATCATAAGGATGTAACAGACAGTCTGATCATCATCAAGACCATCGCCATGGTATGTCCAACATTGACTGGTAATTGGTGTCAATGCATGCTAAAACATGGACAGGCAGAACCAACGTTTGACGTCCTCTAGCGCGACCTTTTGAGCGAAAGATCCCGCTTGTCACATGAATCCCAGCAGCCAAGTATCAAGCCTTGCCGCCTGTCTTTCAAAGAAAAAGCGCACAAAGTTCACATCCACTGCTATTGTTATTGCACAGTGTTTGGTATTGTTGAAACACTCCAGACTTGGATGTGTTCACTGCCGCTAATCGATCGCTTGCTACGACTACTTGTGCTACATCATTAAAAAATAAATGTCGTCGTTTCGGTCTTTCCTTCTCCACTCTCCACTCATTTGTTTTTCTTAAAGTCATCTTACTCTCTCTCGTGCAGTCGAATCGATACGACCAATCTCTCAAGCATCAATGAGTTTGATGGAATTGCTACGATGACAAGTATCCTAACAAAATATCGTTCTCTCTTTCTTTGCCAAATGTTTATTTGGGTGCTCAAAATTGAATTCACGTCGGCTACGAAATGAAGTTGGTTGTTGAATAATTTCCATGTAGCTTTAAAAATTTGATGCTGCGATCAGCAATCCGACCTATCGTAACAGGGCATCTAGTCACACGCAAACATTAATTAATATACTGAATATGTATGTATGTTAACGCGTTACGCGAGCCGTCTTGCCACCAAAGTGGCTCAACTTCCGCATGCGTCGGGTCATCTCTCTTCTCTACATTTATCTCTACTCTCGCCAGGGTCCATTAAGCGGCGCGCGCTATATGCGCCGCGCTGAAGGCCGTCCAGGCTGCACGATCCTTTGCACACCGGCAAAGGAGGTGCAGGTCTGGGGCCAGTCGACGGCGGTGTCCAGCGGTAGGTTTCTTGCTTGGATCCCTTGGATGTCTATCTTGTCAACAGGTCCTACCCAGGGAGGGTCTCTTGTTGCTTGCGCCGTGGAACAAAGGATTATGCGAGCGTACCAAAGTGAAGATGCCGGGACTTCGGGTCGGGCGTGGCGGCGTACATCGTGGCGGCTTGACTGGCGGCTTGACTGGCGGCTGGGGATGAGAGCGGCAAGAGAGAGGTGTGTAGAGGGAGAGAGGCCCGTCCTAAACTGACGGATACCGCGAAGGATCCGTCCAAGGCCTGACTAGCATTAAGCTAGTTCAGGCCTTCCGGGAGGGCGTTACCCCAACCCGACAAGGATTAATATACTGAATGTTTGGTCTAAAAGTATTCATGATTACTTTTGACCTGCCAATTGGGTGCGATACACAAATGTGATCCCCCCTCGTGCATGTGATATCCATCAATCTATTTACATGGGAAGGGATGACGCTAGTTGAAGCTAGGCATCGCGACGTCTCAGAAGGACGTCAGTTGCGATCTGAAATCTACATTTAAGATCATACGACAGGATACGCTTCTAAAGACTCGCGTATCCGATCTATCTATCTATATTATATATCTATATATATATATATATAGCCAATCAGTAGTTAAGCATATATTTAGTTATAATTAATTAAATATAGCTCAGTCTTGAATTTACTTAAACATACGCACCACGCACGAGAAGCCGAAAAGCTTCTGCGTGACGTCGGTGACTTCTTGTTTAGAAGTCCGTTGCGCTCTAGCTTAAGCGAGAGGCAACTGGTGATACGACTGCTTAAACAGTCGACCAATCTCCTAACCACCCTCGCACGCGATGTAAGACGGTCTAACCGCTTCCTCGCTTGTGCTGAAGGTGTGCGCTAAGTAGCACGAGGCAAATTCGTAGAATTGCCCGTCTACACTTTGTAGCACCAGTAGTCCTTCCCACGACCCGTCTCTCTGAGCGTTCGTGTGGTTGAGATGGTCCTTAATATGGACTGGAGTGAATTCCCTCACCTCTCCCAACACCATAGGGAGTTGGCAGAGCATATGGCGCAGGGACTTGGTGGACAAGCCCTGGCCAACCTCTTGCATTGTCCTCCTGAGCAACATGTTGCTCAGTTGGAGCAATTCGAGGCGTTTGTGCTCGGACAGCGTAGAAACGCGTCCGAGGCAAACAGTTAAGCCACAGCTGAGTCCATCAATAAGACCCAGGATGAGCTTTTTCGTGAGCAAGCACGTAATGAGGCTCTCAACAGAACTGTTGATACGCTCTCTACCCGGCCTACTCAACCGAGGCCTATTCGGATGGACCCTCCGAAGTTCGATGGACCTACCCCTCACACGATTGTTCACTGGCTATTAGCCGTAGAGCAATGTGAAGTGGCGCAGCTCATCGAAAACGACACCAGAATGGTCGTATGCCATGTCCAACTTGCGTGGCAAAGCATCAGAGTAGGCATACTATGCGCTGATGGCTAATGCTGATGCATTCCCATCATGGGCAATCTTTAAGGCAAAGATTCGCGCCATGTATCAGCCGCCTAACAACGAAGTGTTGCTTATGGCGCGCTTCTTTGGAGCACGACAGGCGAAACGCTCTCTGCAAGAATTTGTGCCGGAAATGCGTTCGCTGTCGGCGTCCATTGATGGGGGACCGATACCAGAGCGTATCAAGGTGGCACGTTCATGAATGGACTTAGGCACGGCCCATCGCGTCAGGCCCTTTTCAGAAAGGTGTCAGCGACGATGGAAGAGGCAATTGATATTGCCTTAGTTGAGGAGCAATCCTACAACAGCGCCTCGGCGACAGCCTATTACAGGCCGTCGTCCGAGAAGTCTGATGCCACTCCTATGGAGTTAGGCAATGCAGATATTATCTGCTACAAGTGCAGCAAGCGAGGCCATATGATGGATCGCTGCTATGCCAAAGTATCTGCTGGTGCTAAGGCAGCCAGCAAAAGGTCTCCCAACCCGAAGGGAGGTGCGAAAAACCAGCTTGCACGACGCACGGGTTCAGCACCTGCCCAAGATGGGTCGGGAAATGCGGGAGCGCAGTAGGGGCGGGATGCCCTACTGTCGCGGACTCTGAAGCTACCCCTAAGTTCAGAGTGATCGAAAAAATGGGTAGCATAGTCCCTGAGGTTCCGAAAGATCGGACCTCAACCCTTTTGGTTTATAGCGCTCGAGTACGAGGCTATGACCAAGTGATGACCCTTCTCGTAGATTCGGGTGCATCACAAAACTTTGTGAAACTCGCGGCTCTGAAAAAGAGACCGGCGAGTTATGTGTCGCTTTGCCAGGATGGCAAGCGAGAAGAGGCGATCGTTCGTTTAGCGAACGGCGCGCTCGTTAAATCTGAGGGAGTTCAAGTTGAACTCGCCTTCAGTTTCAGTGACTTCTCTTGTAAAGAGAAGTTCACAGTGCTAGGTATGGAGAGTCCGTATGACCTCATCCTAGGCATGCCTTGGTTGGCTAAACACCAACCATGGATAGACTGGCGTACACGCACAGTCGCTAGCTCTACGCAAGACACCGGAAAGGATGTGCTCTTGCGAGAGGCTTATGTGGCTGATGCTGTGTCCAACACAGTCGAGGGTTCGATGACGGTATGCCAATCGACACCGGGTACTACCCAGCTCGAAAAGAGTGGTGTAGCTGGAAGTGCACTGGCGGAAAGCCAGGTGAAACATATTCCTACCCAGGTCGAAAAGACTGGTGTAGTGAATGGGGCGATGACAGGTAGTCATGCGTCCAATAGTCCTGCACAGAGCCGAGAGCCTGTGGCAGTTAATGGTGGGCTGAAAGCAAGTCAAGCGCCACAAGAACCGGCACAGATCCATGGGCCTGGTGTGATTGGAAGGAGTGCGTTAGATGAAATAGCAACGACACCTTCTTCCAGGTGTAAAGGTCGTGGTGACTCGAAGAACGAGCACCAGACGTATAAAGACGATCAAGGGCACGTCGAAACGAGTGACCCTTGGATCAGTCTCGGTCCAAGAAGACGGACCTAAGAACGAGTTGTTCGAGGCCGTCGAAGACAAAATTCCGGAGGCATCCTCAGTTGAGGTGCTCCAACTTGTCTTGGCATCTGCCGAGGAGATAGTAAATCTCTCGGAGATGACTTGGGATCTGTTCCTGTCCGAACTAAAGGAGGGAAAGATCCACGAAATAGTCACACCAGTTCCAGAAGAGAACGTGGTGGACTGTTGCTCTTCATCCACAATCGATGAGAGCGTCTTGGAGACCGGCAAAAAGAAACGGTTCGCTGCTCAAGGATGGGAAGACTTGAAGGACAGCCCGTTCTATGATATTCTGTGGAAACACCGTGATGTGTTTCCAGCAGAAGTGCCGAGCCGCCTACCGGCCGATAGGGGCATCAGGCACGAAATTGACCTGGAGCCTGGCACCAAGTATTGTGTGACCAGGCAATGGCCGTTGCCGAAGGAACAAGTCGATTACATCGATGAGTTCTTCGACAAGCGAGCTAAGGAGGGACATGTACGTGAGAGCAAGTCGCCTCGCTGCAGCCCGACCTTCTGTGTGCGTAAGAAACAGGTGGATGGCGCGTGTTTTATACTTATACAA